ACAAGAAAAGCTAGAGCTTGACCGAGATGCAGTCTAGGTCATAAAGAAATTGAATGCCAGAAACGGTGCGAGCCCTGAGGGCTTAGTTCACACGTTGACCTGACCTGAACGGTAATGAGACAAGCAATCACAGGTCTGTCTCCAACATAGTAGAAGGGGTTTTTTTAGTGAGTAGTCTGACAAGCTCAGGAGTCTCACACTACAGGCTGGCTACCTGTGTGCGTAAAAGCATTTTTACCTCCTCTCCCTTAACACGTTGACCGCGCGCGCCGACTTTAGTCGGCGTCGCCAGCGCTCCCAAGTGGCGCTCGGCGTCGCCAGCGCTCCCAAGTGGCGCGCGCCGACAACCTAAAATACATCGAGTCAGTGTGAGCTTAGCCGTGGTCGGAGTAGGGTGCTATTGCGTTAGCCACCTGCGTACGTACCAACCTTAGCCCAGTTAGTGCCGTTCCCGGATTCCGTGACTTTTTTGTTATTATCGTCATAGTGAGTTATTATGTGCCCTTAGGTGATTTGTGTTGTACAATAATGGATAGTGCATTTCATGAAGATGAGCTTTTGAGTGAGGAGGACATAGCAACAAGTGGCGATGAGAGTTCCGCGGAAAGTGAGGTTGACCTTGACGTCGAGGAAGACATCACTGCTGCCAACCAACCCACATGGCTCCCCCAAACTGCAGGTTTGCAACATATCCCTTTCACTGGTAACGAAGGTTTTCGCGTGCCTGTACCTAATGTAAATCAACCAGCTGAATTCTTTTCAATGTTACTGGATGATGTGTTTTTAGAAATGATTGTTCGCGAAACGAACAAGTATGCCATTGATTTTTTTTGCGGCAATACTACTATGCCACAGTCACGTATTCACAGATGGAAAGATCTAACTGTGCCTGAATTGAAGGTGTTCTTTGGCTTATTGTATCACACTGGCCATATTAGGCTAAGCCGTCTGGAAGATTATTGGCGAACTGACGACATGTATAACATATCTTTCTTCCGCAAGTACATGAGTAGGGATAGATTTATGATAATCTTTCGATGCCTACATTTCAGCACCAATAGAGACGAGGAGTCAGACAACCGTCTAGCTAAAGTTCAAGATGTTATTGACTATTTCAATAATCAAATGGCAAAGTTGTACTACCCCTGTCGAGAACTAACAATTGATGAGGCAATGGTACTGTGGCGGGGACAACTTGTGTTCCGGCAGTACATAAAAAATAAACGTCACAAGTACGGTATCAAGTTTTACTGCCTCAATGAACCTCATGGCCTTACTATCAAAATGAAGATCTATGCAGGCAAGGGTGACAGTACTAGTGGGCCAGGACACGCATCAAAAGTTGTCATGCAACTGATGGCCCCCTTTTTACAGAAGGGCCATTCCCTGTACATGGATAATTTTTACAATGGGTTCCCTTTAGCTGCCAAATTGTTGTCCATGCAAACGTACGTGACTGGTACGTTGCGCCAAAACCGGAAGTACTTACCTCAGGAGGTAACCTCGGCTAGACTGAAAAAAGGAGAAACCGTAGCGAGATACGCAGAAGGTGTTCTCGTAGCCAAGTGGAAGGATAAGAGAAACGTTCTTTACCTGAGCACAGAATTTGAGAACACTATGGGCTTCAGCAGGAACAAGCGTGGTGAACTACGGGAGAAGCCGGTACCCGTTATACAGTATAACGGACACATGAAAGGAGTTGACAGATCGGACCAGATGATGTCGTACTATCCGTGCGAACGAAAGACAATACGCTGGTACAAGAAGGTGTTCGTGCATGTATTGCAAGTGATGATGGTGAACGCCTGGTCAATGTATAACCTTGCGTACATTGACAACAAAATGAAGCTGTATGATTTCAGGCACTTGGTCATCAAATCCCTTCTACCGGCCAGTATCGAATCGCCAGCTAGTATCAGCACCAAGAAGAGACAGCACCACATACTATCGAAGGTACCGCTTGACGATGCTGGAAAACGCAAAAAGAAACGATGCAGGGTATGTTCTAAGGAGGGCAAGAGATCGGATGTAGTGTATTTCTGCCCAGCTTGTCCTGAAGAACCAGGCTTATGCCCTATTCGGTGCTTTGACAAGTACCACGACTCCATGTAAAGTCAAAACAGAGACTCTGTAATTATTTGTAAATATTTAGTAATAGTGAGAAAAAAAATAAAAAAAAAACATTGTGAAAATAAAAAAAAAATAAAAAAAGTGAAAATGTGAAAAAATAGTGATGTTTATGGATAAACTGACAAACTATGCGAAGAAATCCGGATTATTGTGCAATTTCTCTGGAGCGTCACACCCGGGTAGCGCACGCCGACAAAAAGCGGCGGAAGTGATGACGTCATAGGACGACCGAAAACTGTGAAAAAGTGAAAAATATAGTGATTTTGATACATAAACTGACAAACTATGCCAAGAAATCCGGATTATTCTGCAATTTCTCCGGTGCGTCGCACCCAGGTGGCGCACGCCGACAAAAAGCGGCGGAAGTGATGACGTCACGGGACGACCAGAAAAATTGTTTTTTTCATGACAGCGACCCCCAACCAGACTCACAACACCATTTGGTAAGTGATTTTGACATAACATATTTTTAGCCACAGGTGATGGTATATACTTATTTTTTGAGCCACCGGTGATGGTATAGACTTATTTTTTGAGCATTCAACGTGTTAAAACCCGCCACAGCGGCAAAATCATTAATATCTCCCATGGGCCGCAATCACGAGGATATCATCATCGACACATGTGACAACGGCAAGACCGTAAACACCCCCCATTGGTCACAATCACGGGGACATTATCATCGACACCCGCAACCGTGGCAAATTCGTAATCGAGTGAAAATTTAAAAACGTACGTTTTCAGGAAAAGCACTATGCAAAATTTTTTCCCCTTTTTTCAAAACTTTTATTAGTTTTTTATTTCATTAACATTTGAAGTTTCATAAAATGTCCATGGTAACGCAATATCTTTGGTAGTTTTTTTTTAAAGAGCATCTTTTGTGGAAAAACACAAAATCCTGTCACGACCATAACGGACGTTAAATGAATATTAAAAATAGTTAATATTATTTTTATATCTATGTTTTGCTATAAACTAATTTACTTTTATGACCATTATACAATAAAAAGGTCACTGAGCTTTTGGTATATTTGGTCTTTCTAGAAAAAAATAAAAAAACTCAAAAAATTGAAAAATAGCCAATAAAATCTTTTTAAGTTTGTATAACTCCGAAAAAACTTACCTGAGACCTGAAAAATCGTTATGTTTGTATATAGGTCTGCTTCTTTTGTGTATAAAACATTGAAATATGACGATATTTTAATTTTTGAAATTTTTATGATAGAAATCATAAACGTGAAGGTCAGGGACAAGCGGTACGGTCGTGAATTGTCTGAAATAATCTAAATCTTTCTAAACAATCCTTCAATTATACTGTTAGTTATAATAAAAATATGTGTTTCAATTGAACTAAACTGTTCAATTTACAATTATATTAAAGTTATTGTCACGACCAAACACACTATAATCCATAAGGCTGGATTGGTCGTGAAAAAACCCGCGATGGTCGTGAAACTTTGGTCGTGAAATTACGTGTTATTTGGCTCTGTTCTGGCGGTAGCCCTGCACCTCATGTTTGAGGATACAAAGTGGACTTCTAGGTTAATCTAGCAATTGAAATATCTTATAAACAAAAATTAACACCATGTCTACTTTATCGAATGACTACGTACGGTTATGGACACACCAAAATTACAAAAAACACAATCTTTCCTTTATTAATCTTGTAATTCCTCCTTTTAACTCGAAACGACAGGCACTACAATCCTGACGTACACCCCGAACTAGACTCTAAAACCAACTGACTCCATCGACGCCAGGCTTGCCACTGTCGTGCTCCAAAGTTGAAAATTTTTCCCAAATGGTCGTGACGCCAAATCGAGGGACAGACTTATTTTGTCATGGTAGTCAGTTTGCAATGACAATAAAATTATAATATGCTCATTTTTTGTAAGTTTAATAACCATTGATGACATAAAAATATGGCTTTATATATTTCTGCATGAATAATTAGTCTAAAAACAGCGTGAAAGTTGGAAAATTTATCCTAGGGACACGTCATGGTCGTGAATTTCGAGACTTTAAAAATACAAAAAAAATACCTAGAACCTATTTAAAACTAAATAAATGTGTGTAACATGTTGCCCCCATCCCGAAAAATATAAAAACACATAATAATAAACTACAAATCCAGTATCTACGAAGTAAAAGGCCAGGGACATGAAAACGTACGTTTTTAAATTTTCACTCAATCATCTCCCGTGGGCCGCAATAACGGGGACAGCATTATTGTCACCCGCAATCTCAGCAATTTGATAATTTAAAAAATAATTTTTTTTGCTCTGAAAAAAGAAATTGTCATGCCTTTGTGGCCCCCTTTTGCTTGGGCCCTAGGCCACGGCCTAGTCTGCCTAGTGGTAAATCCGGCACTGAACATAGTATTTTAATGTTATGTTATGTACAAAGCTGTGTTGTGAAAGTTGTTTGTAAATGGTGTATCCGGAATCCGTTGATATAAATAAATAAATAAAGCATGCCTCATTTTCTCCTCAGATGTTGAATTATCAATATCTCTATTTTTTTTATTGATCTTATTAAACTGAGAACTGATGTCTCCTACCCAAGAGCATTATTCAACACTTTACTAAACTTCTCTAGATTTCCTTTTTCAGGGTTCACAAGTATCTTTCCTTTCTTCATTCCAGAATCCACCTTGTGTTCCTTTTCAAATCACGAAGCCCGTACATTATGCATAGGTAACTGTTTAACTGTCAAACCACCCATGTCAAATTTAATCCAAAATTGTTTAGTGATGTGCTAAATATCGTGAGAAAATAACTGGTTAAAACACAACTGGTTAAAATATTATTGATCACAAAAAATTGTAAGATAATCATAAATTTTAATTTAATCCAAAACTTTTCTTTTAGCGTGCCTGACTATGCTTTAAGACCCAAAGTCCCCTACGATGTCAAAACTTTCTTTTCATTTGATCCAACAATAATTGACTTTGGTTGGCAAGCGTTTTTAAAACCAGGTGATAGAGGTAAACTCACTGAAGTTGGAATCCTACATAAGAAAAAAAGGTCCAGAATTTGTGAGGATAAAAAAACCATAATCAAGGCCCATTGGAGATTTTACAAGGGTAAGTGTTACTTAGATCCAAAAGTTGAAATTAGCCATAATGAAATACTCTTAAAGATAATTGACTTAAAACCAGTAGTGATGTAACATAGGACATCTGGGCCTAGTTATAAGGATTTTGATTTGGATAGCAGGCTTTCCCAAATGGGAAAGAGTCCACGTGGCACAAAGGAACTAAATAAAGCCACATCATACAATACAATACAATACAATACAATACAATACAAATCATCTTTATTCATCAAGTATTTTACAGCAAATACATGAATTGCGTCACAGAAAGAAAAAGAGAAGCAAAAAATTAGGTATACAAGTATCCTAAATAATAGATTACAAACATAAATCATAACATAACATATTTCTAATAATTTAAATTCCAAAACTCTTCTATTGAATATATTGATTTAGATTGCAAATAGTTTTTCAGTAGTTTTTTAAAGCTACTGTAATTATGTTCGTTGAAAATATTTTTGGGTAGGCTAAATAAAAATTGTTGGCCAGTGAAAATGGGGTGAAAATAGGACTTTTTTACTTTTTCGCAAATTACTCAAAAACTGTGCGTTTTTCTCAAAATACAATGCATTACAAAAATAATCTCTATTAAATTTTGAACAAAATGATACCATACAATACCTATCTATAAGTATAAGAGGATGTTTGTATATATATTTGGCAGTGATAAACTCAGACACGCTGAACCGATTGCCACGAAACTTGGTACATACGTGTAGAATTTCATGGAATAGGTTTATACACCATCAATTTCGTTATCCGTCCAATCGGCTCCGCCCCAGTGGCCCTGGAGTTTCCCATGTTAACCTTATGAGAAATGGAATGGAATTAATGAATCTTAACAGCTGTTTCAATTAAACAAGTTGGTTCTGTTCTATGATGTTCAATAGCATTAAAGTTACAAGGATTACCAACAGGGTGCAGCACTATTATTTCTTTTACATTTATGACAACAGCTAATTTGCAACCAAAAGGTGAATGAGCGTTGCGAACGAACTTCAACCCAAGGGTGAGTGAGCATAGCGAACGAGCTAACCTGAAGGCAAGTGAGCGCAGCGAACGAGCTCCAACCTAAAGGTAGTGAGCGTAGCAAACGAGCTCTAACCTAAATGTGAGTGAGCGTAGCAAACGAACTTCAACCAGGACGTGATTGAGCCATGCGAACGAGATCATCTTGAAAATTAAGAAGTTAAACGGGGCAAAGCCCGCGGGTTACAGCTAGTCTACTATGAACGGTTCAGGCGATATTGAGGGGTAAATGTGATTTTTTTCTTAAAATTCTAAAAAAGTTGTTTTTTAAAATGGAGGAAACCCATGGACACTCATAAAAAAGTTTCTATTGAGTGCTAAATTGTTTAATAGACCTCCCTTAATATGTGTAAAAAAGTTACACTGATTTGAGTGTCGGATTGGAGAAGGAGGGTTTAAAGAAAAATGGAGGGGAATGGGACTTATTTTACTATTTTACAAATATCTCGAAAACGGTGCATTTGTATTGATATATTATGAATTACAAAAATAATTAACATTAAATTTCGAACAAGATGATACCATACAATATCTATCTACTATGAACGGTTCAGGCAATATTAAGGGGTAAATGTGGTTTTTTTCTTAAAATTCTAAAAAAGTTGTTTTTTAAAAGGAGGAAACCCATGGACACCCATAAAAAGAGTTTGTAATTATATAAAAAAGTTACACTGATTTGCGTGCCGTTTTTGAGTAGGAGGTGGTGAAAACATGGTGGGGAATTTGATTCATAAGTAATTTTGTAAATTTATTTTATGCAACACTTTTTTTCCTTTTTAATACAAATATAACGTCAATTTAACTAAATATGACTTATCTATCTGAAAAGACAAACCTACCTAGATACGTGAACACAGTGAACTTTCTACCGTTTGAATTCTTAAGTGAGTTTTGTCAGTTATAATATCACATAAATATCCGTGTTACAATAGTTATTTGTGTAACTAGTGGGCGAAGTGGCACTTTGCACTTGTGTTACACGTTATATTTATCCTACAGTTACTAAAAATCATATAAATAATTAGTCTTTCAAACACTATACAAAACCTGTTTAGGTAAGGTTAAAACACGAATACTAGAATAGACCCGGTATGGATCATAAACATAAACAAATGAGGATTTTGGCCCGAAAGTAAACAAAACCATATTACGATTAAATGCTATTAGAATAGAGGTTTTGTTTACTTTCGGGCCAAAAACGTCAATTGTTTATGTTTATGATACATACCGGTATTTTTCTAGAATTCGTGGGTTAAATCTAATCGTTGAACGAAATGGGAAACAATGCAACAGCTGATTGTAATTGTAATATTTTTAAGTGTTGCAAACCTATTTCTAAGCGAACACGGATTACGTGCATGATGAAAGCACGCTGTTTTGTGTTGTTTGGTCGGAAACTGAGGGTCAAAAGTAAGTATATGCAAGAATTAGCAGCTTTCTGTACTGATCTGTGCAAGGAAGCCTACTTTGTTGGGTGACTGTAGGAAAATATAATTTTTTTTCACTTGATATTGTTGATTCATTCAAACTTACTTATACGTACTCCTTTTTTAAATAGAAAATCTAATATATACAGAGTGTCCCTTAAGTAGACAGCTCCAGGAAATGGTTCTATGATTCAAAATAAAGAGAAAATCAAGTGTAACATTTTTTCCAAAGTCGCTTTGTTAACCATATATCCACCATTTTTGTTTGGTTATACAAGCGGCTAATTGATGCATGTCACACAGTTTGTACGTTGTCATACGGTTTTTACTTTGTCGCACACCAGTATTCCAACCAAACAACACAAACAGCGTGCTTTCATTATGCGCGTAATCCGTGTTTGCTTAGAAATAGGTTTGCAACACTGAAAAATATTACAATTACAATCAACTGTTGCAGCGTTTCCCATTTCGTTCAACGATTGGATTCAACCTTACCTAAACAGATGTCGTATAGTGTTTGAAAGGCTTATCATTGATATGATTTATAGTAACTGTAGGAAAAATATAACGTGTGTTCGTGTGTAACACGAGTGCAAAGTGCCTTTGCTGCACTCGAGAAACCTTCCACGCTCGCCTACGGCTCATGTGTAAGCATTTCTCTCGTGTGCAGCAATGTACCACTTCGCCCACTAGTTACACAAATAACTATTGTAACAAGGATATTTACTTAATAATTATAATGATAAAACACACTTAAGAAGAATTCAAACGGTAGAAAGTTCACTGTGTTCACGTATCTAGGTAGGTTTGTCTTTTCAGATAGGTAAGTCATATTTAGTGAAATTGACATTATATTTGTGTTATAAAGGGAAAAAAGTGTCACTTAACAAAATTTTACAAAATTTCTTATAAATAAAATTCCCCACCCCGTTTTCACCCCCTCCTACTCAAAAACGGCACGCAAATCAGTGTAACTTTTTTACACATGTTAAGGGAGGTTTACCCAACGATTTGGCATCCATTACAAACTCTTTTTATGGGTGTCCTCCATTATAAAAAACAACTTTTTTAGAACTTTAAGAAAAAAATCACATTTACCCCTCAATATTGCCTGAACCGTTCATAGTAGATAGGTATTGTATGGCCTAAATATTTTTATCTTTCCACACAATATAAAAGGCAAAGCCCTCACTGACTCACTCACTGACTGACTCACTCACTCATCACTAATTCTCCCACTTTCCATTTACCTAGGAGGCTGAAATTCGGTACACCGATTCTTTGGGAAATAGGAAAACTAAGTAGTTTTTATTCTGATCGGGCTTTCGGGCTCAGCCCCAGTGGTTCTGTTCTATGATGTTCAATAGCATTAAAGTTACAAGGATTACCAACAGGGTGCAGCACTATTATTAAATTTTTAAATTTATGACAACATCTAATTTGCAACCAAAAGGTGAGTGAGCGTAGCGAACGAACATCAACCTAAGGCGAGTTAGCGTAGCGAACGAGTTAACCTGAAACAAGTGAGCGCAGCGAACGAGCTCTAACCTAAAGGTGAGTGAGCGTAGCGAATGAACTTCAACCAGGACGTGATTGAGCCATGCGAATACTTGTGAAGTTAAACGGGGCAAAGCCCGTGGGTACAGCTAGTAATACTCTAAACGGGAAACATTGCATATGCGTAGAACTACTACCCAGTAATGACATATTAAAAAACAACATTCGTGCATGCTGTGCTACGGCCAATATCTTGGAAAATGGCTGCCGATTTCCACGTTTTTGACCATATTTCACAAAATTTTTGGAAATACCGTAAAATGGGGTGAATAGAAACAACAGGGTGAATAGAAACAAAACTTCAATGAATGATTCACATTTTTATAACTTTGTTATACATTGACTTTATATAAGGGAATTATTTTCCCCCATTATAACCATATCCTATCTACCTGGGAAAAATTATTTCAGCATATTGGTATCACTGCTTTGGATGTTGGATAATGCGAAACGTCATTTGAAAATTTGTGCGAAAAACATTCTCTTCAAAACTTTCTCTCTAAGTATGAACCCATTACATGTATTTATGTTAATAACCATTTTTTATATTGTCTTAGGTATCTTAAAAACAAGTGTGTTAATAGATTAGCCTTAGAATAAACTATATTTTTTTACTTAATTTTTATTTTAGGTTATGTCATGATTTTGCAAAACCAGGGTAAATAGAAACATTTTTTTTAACCAGTGGTGCAAATAAAGGTGGCCCTGAAAACCCCAAAAAAAAGAAAAAAAATACCAGAGATGAAGATGATCCACATCAGTCACTCTTCTCACTGGAAGAAAGTGACAAAGACGAAGAATTTGATGAAGAACCAGCATACCTAGCTCAAGACATCAGTGAGTCTTCAAAGTTGTCCCTTCATGATCATGTAATTGTCAAAGTAATGGGGAAAAACAAAACTTGCTATAGTTTAGATGTTGCAAAAGTTATTGAATTTGACGAGGAAGGATAAATAGGAAGATTCATCAAGAAAATTGCGCCAAACAACAAGTTCTGAGAGACAGAACTTCAAAGTCGATGACGTAGTACGTCGGCTTCCAACTCCCAAGCCGTGTACAACTTCTAGATTTAAGGGAGTGTTGTATTTTGAGGAAGATTTGTCTGATTTTATTCTTCATTAAGTTGGTTTCTATGTAAGATTTTGTAACTCTGACTTCACCCATTGTCATTCATGTTCTCCGATTTGTTTGGATAAGGGTTTACGAAAACGATGTTTTTATACTTTGTACTTATAAATAAATTTGTTAATTAACTTTAAATATTTTTATTTACAACAACCTAAGCTAACAAGCATAAATTTCATGTTTCTATTGCCCCTGGTAAGTGGGGAAAAGCAACAATCATCAATTTAACACAGTGTTTCTATTCACCCCAAAGTGCAGGGTGAATAGAAACAGCCATATTTTATTTTTTTTCTGCTTAATGATTAAAAAGAAAAAAAAATTGATAACTGGTTTGAGTAGAGGAGTCCAAGACCGGAAATATGAGCTAATGTTGAAAATTTAAAAACTAAAAATATAGTTTTTACAGAAGCTTAAAAGTCAAAAAGTGTTTCTATTCACCCCATTCTACGGTACAGAAATGTTGAGAAAAATTCAAATTATTTTGTAATATTAAATTTATTACAATAATTTATTATTTTATTATTGTGTAATATTAAATTTAAAATTCCCTTGTTATTCTTATGAAGAATAAGAAAACTGTTTAAGTTTGCTTGTTTACTGATATCTATTAATAAAACTTTGTAAACTTATTTATTTCATACCCTGTAGCAGCAAACCTAGGCACTTGTTAAACCTAATGTTATTTAAATAGATTTAATTGAAAATCCAACCAGACAAATAGTAATTCGCTTAGTCTGCAGGTTTGCTGTGGCATCGTACATTTGTTTATACATTACACTACACTTGAATCATCACGTTAATTTCCAACAGTTATTGGGTACGCGGTTACGGTTTACTGTTTATTCTGTAGTTAACTTGACGGCCAACAGCATTTTAGCTGAGTGTGACTCTGTGGTTTGAATAATCACCAAGCAAGCTGCGTAATGTATTTTAATTGGTGGTATTTTCCATGTTTATAATTTAGTTTGGTATCTTAGGAATCCAGAGATACTATGCTTAACATGGAAATTCAGTTAGATATTTCCCCAACAAATATTTGTATTGTCCTATAAAGGACACAAGGACAGAAAAGGGTTAGGTTTGCTGCTACAGGAAAGATTATGAAATATTTTTTTTTAACAAAATTTTAATGGCTTAGTATAAAACAAATATACCATCTTTTGTGTATTTACCGTCTTGTGAGTCAACAGTGTAAGTGTAAATTGTCCCTAAAATGCTGTCTCCTGAGCACAAAACTCAAATGTTAATGGCTGGTGAATTCATTGATATGGCCAATGCAAATCCAAATTTTTTGAACTAAATTGTGACTGGTGACTGAAACATTGTGTTAACCAAATTATCTTTTACCCTACCAAGATTGTGCCACTCACAGTTTGTGTACACGACCGAACCAACAAAGTAGACTTGCAGGTACACAAAAAGCTCTTACCAATGCTGCACTACGGCTCATCAGCTATACCCCAACTACTGATATACCCTCCCCAGGAGTCGTAATAACTACTGCAAGGCAAATTTCCCCCTGGCGATCGCGCTAAATGTCTACCTACAGAAATTCATTCTGGGAATTTTTTGACTGTAGTAGTATATCCATAAACAAGCAAGCTACAACAGTTAACAATATTCCCCCTAAGAATAGCATGGGAATTTTAAATTAACAATATTTTGAATTTTCTCCGTACAACCTTCTTCTGTAACCAATAAGCGTTTAAAAATCGCTAACATTATAAATAGTTATAAATACATATTAATATAAATATAAATACACTAGCTGACCCGGCGAACTTCGTATCGCCTAAGTTATAGGTTTCCCCTATGACAGACCGATGGAAAGAAAGTACCGTTACGTTTAATTTTCAAGATGATCTCGTTCGCATCGCTCAATCACGTCCTGGTTGAAGTTCGTTCGCTACGCTCACTCACCTTTGGGTTGACGCATACTCCCTTGTACTATGTTTACTTAATGGTAAGTGTAAAAATGTAAAGGCAATGGACGATGGATCTGATTAAAAGAACTGGTTTGTATATTAAGTTGTTTGTTGATATTTTTGTAGAGTAGAATCAGAGATGCAATGAAACATATACCGGTACTGTATTTGCTATTAAATTTTTTAGTCCTTGATGCTTTGATAATCATATTAGTTTTTTCTGCTGTCTTTAATGCTAAATTATTTGTTTAACATTTTTTACAGTACCTATAGATATAGTTTCTTTAATATTTCAAAAGACTGTATTGATAAGGCACAGCAAAATTTCTAAAGTTTATAACAGCTGACTTGGTTTTGCTAATGATTTATTTGAGAGTGAAGAAACTGAAGGTGGAAGGATTAATTTTTGATTTAATATCAAGAAGAGTAAAATTTTAAAAAATCATTTAAATTTAATAATTAGAATTTTTGCAACTTTAAAATTGAAATTTAAAATGTCAATAATAAATTAAAAGGTATGTAATTAAGGGAGATGAAGATAAATCATGTATGTCAAAGTTATATTCAAAGATTTGGACAGTTTTTCTCATATCAGCCTACACAAGATTTAAAATTAATCAAATCCAAAATGTTGGTATCCACTACTTACCAGATTTAAAAGTCATAACTTAAACGTTTCTATTAAGGCCATAAAAGTTGAATTTTGTTTCTAAAAGCATTGGTGGATGTGTAACTATTTATATGCAACAGATGTAAAGATTAAAATGTTTCTATTTTGTGTCGTCTTCCCGTTGCAAAGCACGGGTACAACAGCTAGTTATAAATAGTTTATTAACTATTTGTTTTTTTAAGCTCTTCAAAATGGTCTAGAGAGAAATTGGGAAATTTTATTTCTCTCTTTTGAGGGTCAAAAGTTAGAAAACCCAATTTTTACCCCATAAAACCCCGTTCCCATGGTCCAATCATGCTGGTTCATGAACTCATTCAAGTTTATCCTGCCCTACACCTTCAAGCCAAATTTAATCAATATCGGACAAAAATTACTCGAGTTATTGTGTTTACAGACACACACACACACACATGTATAACACATTATAAACGGATGGTGTTTTTGGCCCCTTAGGACGTCAAAATGAAAAATAGATGATCGGTCCCGGACCTAGGTCTTACCACAAGACCAACAGTAATAGCTACTTCCCTATAGGGAAATTCACTAAAATTTATTGTTTTAAAATACAGTAGATAAAGATTCTCTTACCTTACAAGTACTGTATGATTGTTGCTTGCATCATTTTGTAAGAGCAGCACGGCAGCACCAAGATAACTTTCAGGTTCAAGCTGTATGTCATGACAGTCATAATTACTCATCAGTTGATAAGAATAGCTTCTTGATAAATTGGTTTCACACCCGACAAATACATATTAAGTTTATAGTACACATTTTCAATTTTAGTTATTTTTAGGTCTGGAAATTGTCTAGGCCTCTCTATATTCTCATATCTCTTCACAGTTTCTCTTTCTCCACCTGTTATCTCCCTATTCTCTTTACCATATCCCCGTTTACCTGATCTGTCCGCCATTCCTCTCTGTAACCTCCCTTCCATCACCATCAACTCTATTGCTCTACACATTCTTCTGATATACTTCTCACATGTTCAAACCATCCCAAGTCTTACTTTTCCAACCCTTCTTCTAAAGCCGTATTATTTAAGTTAATAAGGCATTTATTCAGTCATTCAGCACATTACAAATTAGCAATAGACATTGTCACGTTTTATTTACAAGACTACTAACCTTCTAACAATAGGAAAATGTAAAATGTAAAAACACATCTGACATAGTAGGCCTACGTAGAATAGTTATTTGTGTAACTAGTGGGTAAAGTGGCACTTTGCTGCACACGAGAGCAATGTTTACACACGAGCCGCAGGCGAGTGTGGAATGATCTCGAGTGCAGCAAAGGCCTTTTGCACTCGTGTTACACATTATATTTTTCCTACAGTCACTATAAAGCATATAAATAATTAGTCTTTCAAACACTATACAACACGTTTTTAGGTTCAGCTGGCAACACAAATAGGTGCCAAGGTGCCCTAGAGAAAGTAGTACCTGGTCCGTATCACTCCGCTATTTTTCCTTGGCAAGAAATTTGCTCCGCGTTTTGACGTTTTGAGAATATAGTTCCGTATGTTTTTGTAATTTGAAGTGGTTTCTGCGCCTAAAAAAATGCTTTAAAGGTATTTTCTTGTTTATTAAGATCGTAGGAATGTTTTAAATACGTTTAAAAGAAAAGTCCAGAAAGCTCAGAAATACCGAAACTATAAACCCGAAATGACAGTTTAAATTGTAGTTAAAATAGTCAATCAGCTGCTCATAGTAATATTATCTTTAAGTGTTGCCAACCTATTTCCAAGCGTACACGGATTACGTGCATAATAGAACCACGCTGTTTTGTGTTGTTTCGTTGGAATCCTGATGTGCGGCAAAGTATAAACCGTACGACAAAGTATAAACCGTACGGCTAAGTATAAATATGCAGCAATTAGCAGCTTTCTGTACTATAAACAGTACAAGGAAGCCAACTTTGTCGGGTGACTGGAGGAAAAAAAACATTTACAATACCTGTGCATACACAACATTTAGTTAAACTACATAAAATCAGTCTCATGTGGGCAAGTATAAAAAAATTCACTAACTTTATAAAAAGGGTTGTTTAAAAGCCATTTATGGAGCTTTTTACTAAAAACAGTTACAGACATGTTTTGGCAGACATTTGGCAGCTTGTTGAACATATTTAATCTTAGGTAGGTATGGCATTGTAATTGTAAAAAATTAATATATTTTTATTATATTACAGTTGATGGATTATACACGATGACTGACAGTGTAGAGAAGAGTAAGAAACTTGAAATGCCGAATGTATGTACTGAAAAACAAGCAGATAACGATTTTATCAACAACGTTTGCGAGCCCAAGTTTAACAAGATGGGTTCAGCAGATTATGTTTTACGGCTGACTATACAGTCCTACCTGCAAACCGGCGATGTAATACCAAAATATAGGGACGACGCCCTGTATAACTACTATGTAAGTATGTGCCTGAAGTAAAGTCCTTCTGATTTAAGGGTAACTATTTAAACTTGTTTGGATTATTGAAACTAGCATAATGCAGAATTTAATATGAGACTTCTGGTGTAAAAACTTCAGATGTTGTATGAATAAACCATAGTAAATTGTTGTAGTACACTGCAATTTAAACCGCACAGTAGTACAATTAATTGTGATTGGAGAGAAAATCTATATAACGGGCGGTACGTGAGTGGTTTTTGTTATTTTTGCCTTTGGTCCTTTAGGGATTAGCGCATTTAGATTGACGAGGTTAATGAAGACCTTAGGCCTACTATACCTAGTAGAAAAATTTGGAAATTTTATTTAATTTGATTCAAACTATATAGCTTTGTAACCTAGAGATTATTGTTTTAATACCACCAGAAAGTAATGTGGTCCTAAGTGATAAAACAAAACACCATAAATTTCAACAGTATAAGTTGTTGATTCTATAAGTGAACTCTAAGCAATTCAACAAACAAATACAAACACATTTACAGGGTGTCAATAAAAAACGTTTCGGGACTTTGGGAAATGAATCCTCATACTAAAAGGAAGAAAAAAGTTTATGTGAAGTGTCCTATTATGTGAAGGTATGTCCGAAAATGCATATTTACCCAGTTATCCGCCATTTTGTTTTTCATACAAAACTATTTTTATCGTGAAGTTTTTCTTTTGATGATTATGAAATTTGGTAACCATGTTAACACCTACAAGATATATTATAGAAAAAATAAAAAGTTTTTATGATTGTAAATTTCAAAATGATGGCCGTTTGAATTTTTATAACTTAAATAACTTAAAAACGGCTAATTCTATTACAAATTGTCCAGTATACTTTTTTTTTCGAATTTTTAATTCTCTATTAAAGAATACCAAGATCAAAAAGATCAGACATAATATAACTGAAATATAACGGTTTTTGTGTAAAAATAAGACAAAGTTAGACGGGGAAGCGTTAATTTTGCCTCGTCTTACAGATAAAAACCCGTTCTAGTTTACTTATCTTTTGTCCGATCTTTTTGATCTTGGTATGGTTTGATAGAAAATTAAAATTGCTAAAAAAAGTATCCCTGACATATTTTCATAGAATAAGCCGTTTTTGAGTACTTTAAGTTATAAGAATTCAAACGGCCGCTATTTTGAAATTTACAATCGGAACAACTTTATTTTTTTATATAATAGGTCTTGTGTATGTTAACATGGTTACCAAATTCCATAATCATCGAATGAAAAACTTCACAAGGTAAAAATATTTTTGTATAAAAATCAAAATGGCGAATAACTGGGAAAATATGCATTTTTGGACATACCTTCACATAAACTCTTTTCTTCCTTTTAGTATGATGATTCATTTCCCAAAGTCTTGAAACGTTTTTTTATGGACACCCTGGATAAATAACAATTTTGTTCTTAACAATTTAATTTGGCTGCAAAATTGAAAAACAGTGGCAAAATGATATAAAATGGATCTAGATCACAGACTAACTCAAGACTAGAAGACTTTTTATACATTAAAATGGAGTTTGTAGTGTCTCTTTTATTTGAATAAAATTTGCCAGACACTTCAATATGATCTGTATTGTTATAAGCAAAACATCAGTACGTTGTTAACAGTGATATAAATTTAAAACATAATAGTCATACAAATATTCTCAATCATATTTTCTATTTCAATTAACTGCTAGTTAGCAATCCTTTTTATCATCACAGAATTTGGTTTTTTACTATTTTTAGTATTATTACTTAGCCTACAAAAAATTTTTTTTGTTTCAGTGCTATTTTACATTGTTAGGCAAGAAACAGAAAGATTTTAAAATCAAAGGGAATGAAACTATCAACGCGTGTATGGTTAACATTGACACAACGGCCGTCCCAAATGAAGGGAAAATGATTTGGACATGCAAAGTCATAGAGAAAGGACCTTGTCCACCGACCGTGATTGTGAATGATAGTGAGTTGGGTTTAAAAACTAATTTCTCAATAATAATTATACTATTATTACTATCCTTATACATAATTCTGTAAGACAAAATTTTTTTTTCCAGAAAATTTTGGACGTCTGGTAAGTTGCAGAAAAGTGAGAGAGGTCTTAAATTAAAGGTCTTGACCTCAGGGACTCGGGAAAAATAGCAGAATTCCCAAAGTTACCAGAAAACGAGATATAACATAAAATATCCACCATAAGAAAAGCAAGGGGACTGAAAAACGTCTACGTTCTAATCAGCTGTTACTTATTTATTTGCAATGTTTACATTTATTCCGAAAGTCAATGTTGTTAAATCTATAAGTATAAAAGAGGATGTTTGTATATATATATATATTTGGGAGTGATAAACTCAGACACCGCTGAACCGATTGCCACGAAACTTGGTACATACGTGTAGAATATCATGGAATAGGTTCATACACCATCAATTTCGTGATCCGCTCCGCCCCAGTGGCTCTGGAGTTTCCCATGTTAACCTTATGAGAAATGGAATTAATGAATCTTAACAGCTGTTTCAATTAAACAAGTTGGTTCTGTTCTATGATGTTCAATAGCATTAAAGTTACAAGGATTACCAACATGGTGCAGCACTATTATTTCTTTTACATTTATGACAACATTTAATTTGCAACCAAAAGGTGAGTGAGCATAGCGAACGAACTTCAACCTGGAGGCGAGTTAGCGTAGTGAACGAGCTAACCTGAAGGCAAGTGAGCGTAGCGAACGAGCTGCAACCTTAAGGTGAGTGAGCGTAGCGAACGAGCTCCAACCTTAAGGTGAGTGAGCGTAGCGAACGAGCTCCAACCTAAAGGTGAGTGAGTGTAGCAAACGAGCTCCAACCTAAAGGTGATCGAGCGTAGCGAACGAACTTCAACCAGGACGTGATTGAGCCATGCGAACAAGATCATCTTGAAAATTAAGAAGTTAAACGGGGCAAAGCCCGCGGGTTACAGCTAGTAATGTTTAAAAATGAAATGAATTTGTAAAATTGTTTGTTCTCCGTTTTTATAATGGGTGAAGTAACTAGACAGGGTAGGGGAAGACCTGCAAGACGTTGAAGAGTATCCAGGAATTCAACTGACACAAGAAATGCTGAAAGAGATTGTCATGTAAAGCCTAACTATGAAAGAAATCCTCAAGCTGGTTTACAAACCTGCCTTCACAAGAATGCTGGAAAATGAGTTGAGTGTTGTTTCTCACAATTAATTTAGGTCCTCTTAACAGCACAGAGGATGCCACAAATGGACATTTCAACGCATGTTGCCACAATGGACTCATTAACATTGCACAACCACGATTAAATGACAAACTAAAAGAAATGTTTTCACATGATTCTAACTTCATAAAAAACATAAGGCAATACAACAGTGCAATGGCTTTTGCGTTGCTTTCCACTACACAAAAAGAGATTCCAGGAAATTGGCCTTACTGGTTTAAAATTCAGGGACAAATTCATAGATATATTTCTGACTTACTACCGCGAAATGGGGAGTTTCCTTCATATGTACAATTGTGTCTAAATTAGGGGCGATGGCCCCTACAGGCCACTAGTCATTTATAAAAAGTGGTATTTCATGTGCATTGTGTTTGAGTTTTGCTATACAAAAAAGTATTTTTAAAAGTATCTATGTATTTCTTAAATGTGGAATTTGTTGGTTTTTTTGTGGCAACTAATTTGAGAGAACGGATGGGCGTAGAAACTGGCAGAGGCGTAGGTCTTGGTCTGTAGATGAGCCATCAAAAGAAAATTAGGTCACTTCAATGGGGCGTAACAATTAAAATAATGTTTATCCATTGTGCTTTAAAACCATCGTAACTTACAATGAAGAAAATGGGTTTAATAATTTTTTACATTTAGAATTTGAAAATTAATTTGTTTGTTATAAAGTGATTCAGTTAAAACTAGCTAAGAAGCAGTGCTAAAATGGGTTATTAGTAGTTTGTATGGGATATAATGTCTAACAGTGTCCAGGGTTACTATTGTTTATCTTTTGTCAGGGCCGATTTACCGAATAGGCACGGTAGGCACGTGCCTAGGGCGCGAGGCAATTGGCTTTTTTGGGGGGCGCCAAAAATTTGGAAATTAAAAAAAAAATCGTGGTAGTATTTGCATGATATCGCGGTAAACTTCTGATAACCACTCGCGGCCGTGTAGGCATGGTAATCGTCTCCCGCATTTGCGGCAAGATTCTTACTATTCTCTGCAGTCAGGTCGTTTGGACATAAAATTATCGTCTTTATTTTCCATGATCGAGGCAATATAAGAACGTATCCCGCAGTCGTGAGGAGATTATTATCATCTACCGCAAATGAGGCAAAATTCTGATATTTTCCCGCGGTCGTAAGGACATTATCCTCGTCTTGCGCGATCGCGGTCAAATTCTGACCACCCCCGCGGCCGTGAAGACATCATATCGTCCCCGTCGGTCGTTTGGACATAGTAGTCGCCTCCCACAAAATGGTAATCATCTCCCTCGGACATATGGAGATAATCGTCTTCGGCGAATGAGGCAAAATTCTGATCTTTTCCTGCGGTCATTTGGACATTATCATCGTCTTCCGTGATCGCGGCAATATTTTGATCATCCCTCGTGGCCGTGTAGAAATACAGTAGTTATTATATCTCCCGCGGTCCTGTAGATATCGTACGTATCCTGCAGTCGTGAATCCATGGTAATCGCCTCCAGCGATTGCGGCAAAATTTTAATCATGTCCTGAAGTTTTATGGAGATCATCGTCTTCCGCGATCGCGGCAAAGTTCTAGAGGTTTCCCGCGGTCGTGTGGACATCAATCGTCTTCCGTGATTGTGGTAATATTCTGATCATCCGTTGCGGCTCTGTAGATAGTAGATACCATCATTGTCTTCTGCGATCGCGGAAAATTCTGATCATCCCTAGCGGCCGTGTGTAGACATTTATTATTGTCTCCCGCGGTCACGGAAACGTCACTGTTGTGATGCGCGATCACGGAAACGTCACTGTTGTCATGAGCGATTACGGTAAATTGAAATCTCCAGGTAGAAATCAAAATTCACGGTTCAAAGATCTCCCGCATGATTCCCGGATTTCCCGGTCGGTGTACACCCTGTTATATATATATTGCAAAGGGGCGCTACTATTAGACGTGCAACCAACCTAGGGCGCTGACAGGGTCAAAAACGGGCTTGTCTTTTGTTAGGGTATAAAGGGGAAAAACAAATATCTTAAAAATTTCAATTAATTCCCAGATTTAAAAAAATCTCAAACACTTGTGAGTTTTTCACACAATGTTGTCTGTAAAACTGCATCCTGTAGGGATATATTAACTCAAAACAAGCTGTAGGGTCTGTATTTAACTCAAAACACTATGTTTGTTTAACTAATTTGAATAGGTTACTTAGTATACTACAAGATATGTGAACAACACTTCTACTTATTCCATTGTGGTCAAAACAAAACTTTAATCTTGTAAAAAATTTAAAATATACGTTAAAAAACTTTATATGTACACAATTTTTAAACCTTTTAACCAACCTACCTACGTACCTGTTGTGTTAAAATTTTTAATTTCATGAGTACAATTTTTTTTCAGAAACATATTTGGATAACACAAAATTTGTTGAAGGAAAATATGAAATATGTGCAATTTGGGAGGTAGAAAATGAACAAGTTGGTAGAAAATGTGTAACAGTGGTGTGCAAAGAGAAAAAGAAGCCGGAACATAAACCAGACTTGATAATCTCGTAAGTGTATAATAACATACAAGGGAGAATCAAAAAGTTGTGGTTTGATCCTGAAAACAGTCAATATCTTTCTGATTGTTTGAAACTGGACCCAGTTGTTCTCCATCTTTGGTATTTTATTAATAATAAGACAATTTAGAAAGAAACGTTTCTCTCTGATGAGGCTATGCTATGATGTTATTTTTTAAGTATAATCTGTTTGGTTTAAAAATGGTCTAAACGACTTTCATGACGAAAAAGAGAGTGAGACCTTTGTCACTGATGATGAACTGGATGCTAAAGTTGCTAAGGAGATTCATAAAAACATCGGTTTAACAATCAAGGATCTTTCGCTTTGTTTCCCCCAGGTTGTACAGACTTTGTCTCACAACAGCAAGGCTAAATCAAATTACCTGCAATATGGGTGCAGAAAATGTTTACAGATCACCAAAAAGGTTAGGAAACGTAGGAGCTTTTATAGTTTTAGACCATTGGAGATTACTGAATGCACCATTCCTGGACAGACCTTTTATTCACAACTTGGTGTCCGTGCACATTTCACACACTTGATGATAAATTTCCATAGATTTTAAAGACTGCACCTCAAACTATTCAATCGCAGCACACATTTTGAACTTGACTATTGCTTCAAAGGGCGCCGCGACCACATCTCTGTGAACACATCTGAACGTGAAAGTGTGTTTAGTGGTTGCACCTTACTTTCTGAACAGCCCTTGTTTTTTGTCATAAAATAAAGTGTGCTGATTTTCTGATAACCGATTGATCGGCATTCCCATAAAACAGTTTGGACCACTTCTTTTTGAAAGCTTTAGGTGTTGTCGATCACAGAAATTAAGGAAATAAACTAATATTTTCTTTTTGAATTCATTGTACAGATAATTGTAATGAAGGTAAGTAACAAAAAATCATTATTAGTGAAAATCATTATCATTATTAGCTTGAATCGTTATGAGTGATATAAAAACTACAGATTAATTAAGTAACTAATTAATATATTTAAGTATTAAGTCTTAAATGAATAAATACATTTATTTATTTTCCATAGTAATTATTGTTGTTACATTACTATAATAATCATTGAGAAATTTAAATTTGTATTTCGTCACTGTGGCCAGCAGTTACAGCGATGTATCACCTGGCGGTACTGTCACCCTGTTCAATGTTCCATTGGAAGGTTGATGCAAGCGGCCACGTTCGCGTTCCCTTCAGCCACTCACAGAAAAAATAATTATTTAAAATTTAAATAAAATACGAAAGTTAACCAAACAACAGAAAACACTACACATTGTACACACATTGTATACACATTGTATACACATTGTAAATTACTAAACATTCACTTTATCACACCAAACTGTAACCAAAACTACATGATAATTCAGTAAAATACGAGTAAGGTAAATCAATTCAACTATTACAAACAATTTGTTGTCAAGTCTTGCTAGGAAACTCTTTATTTTTTATGAACCAGACCTATCTAATAGATGTTAAAATAAAAATATAAATTCCGGCTTTGCTCTGGAAGTAGTCCTGCAGTATGTGGTTAACCTTAAAACAATTATTTCAAACTACGTCCATATGTTAAGTTATGCCCTTTTATAATATTCTGCATGAAAATGCCTTTAATTTGACACCTCAAACGTTAAAATCCTTCAAGCTGTTATCTAGTTATGATTGTGAAAAAAAAACTGCTTGCGTAAATTGGAACGAAATATTTTCTGAAGAATCAACCATTTGATTGTGGACATTTATTTGTGTCAGGTGCTTGGAGAACTGTTTGGTTACGCCAGACCCAAACGTGCCTGTAAGACTTAGGGTCATTGACCGGAACACAGGCCAGCCTCCAAAGACAAACATTACCTGGGAAATAAGGGATCCTGATGGGAAAACTATTTCTCTTGGAGATGTCATCATTTCTGGAGGAGTTAAACCCTACGAATTAAGTAAGCAAAATTAAAGAATTATTTATTAGTACATTTTCTAATATTATGTGAAAACTATCTGTTTTTCTGTCATGTTCAATAATGTTTTATGAAAGTAAAATGTTTTGTGTGTAGTTTGGATTGTATTATTGGCATAGTAGGTGTGAATTAACTTAAAGAAGATAATATATTGAATGAAAATGAGGAATAATCTACTAGTAAAATTTTTTTTTATATATAAAGATTTATTGTTAAATATGACCTGTGGTTTGTGAAGTTTTGAGTGTTGTTATTTAACTAATTCAACAAATCAAACCCAAATCAGGCTATAACAAAGAGTGAGTCATCATCTTTATCATTTGACTAGAGATCACTGTATTTTGAAGCTTCACAAAAGTTCAGTGTGATCCTGAATTATCTTTCTCACTACATTTAGACGAAAACAAACCCAGTGATGTAGTCTTACATCAAAAACCGAACAGGCTTAGGATGGTTCTAGGTATGATGTACTACTACTACTATTACCACGATATAACATTTTTATTTCATGCTATTTTGTGACTATTTTATCATACAAGAGTTTCAACTTGTTAATGACATTTCACTCATTGTTTATAATTTTATTTTTCAGAAATGAATGTAACTAAACTGAAGAAGTGTGTGGCGTACACGGTGTATGCACAAGGTATTTTTTTCGAATGGAATATAGATTACCAAAATTTTTTTTTTATCATTTGTAGTGCATAACCTATACATACATAAATATCCTATTCTTTTACGGTTGTCCCTTCATCAACTTTGGCTATTGATACAAACTACACATTCTATCCCCATGTTAAAGTTGTCGCCAGTTTTTAAATCTAAATCATAATAGTTGACTTTAGCCATTGACAGATTGTATTGAAGTTCATTACTATGTTGTTTCAAATACACAATCCTTTTTACCAAGTCAAACCGATAGAACGGCTATAGTGAGCTATAACAACTGTTATTACCCATCAACTAAATGTCAGCAACAAAAAATAAGGTAGAAAAAAATAGAGTGTTACATTCAGTGACTGGCTTCTGCAACTATTTTCTCTTTTTATAAAAAAAAATGGTGACAGCTGGTCCATGTAGATGGGATGTCTACTTCAGTATCCAATAGCCAATGATGTCAATTATATCTCTCCGCCTTCTTAGAATTTACCTTCACTTCTCTCTTCTCACCATCTACAATCTCACTAATATTTTTTCCACATCTTTCTTCACATCATCTCCACCCCTGGCCCTCCTCTGGATTCTTCTCCTTTCTTCTACATCCTCAAGTCCATTTCCTACAAATATTTTTTCTCACTCTTCACATGTCTAACTGTATTTTTACCTAATTTTACATTTAATATAACTTAAATTCTAATCTCTCCAGCTTATCTTCATCTAAAATATTTAAGTGATTATTTAGTCATTGCTGAGTTTATTTATGAGCACAGTAGAACTAAGTGTTTGTTTTTTTTTCATATAAGTAAATTGGTTACTAATCAGTACGGTCCTTGGTAAAATCAAAATCAGTAGCCATTTGATGATCCAAAACCAAGCAATGCCCTCATTCATGAGCTTTTAAGAGTCCTTGGAGCCTAGACGTTCTTACTCATAAAGCAATTAAAAAACTACAAAGCAAATTTCTAATCTCACAGTATACTAGATATTTAAATTAGAATCACTTTTTTGGTATTCGAACAAATATTTTGAGGTGGTAAATAACTCTTCATTGGCTGTTAGTAAATAACAAAACTAACAATTAACAAATTAAACAACAATCTTATGGGGGCAAATCCAATGGCTATTGGCGTCCATGGACTCCCTTGGAAATACATTCAAAACAACAAATAGCATTTCTAATCCCACAGTATACTAGATATATTTACATCATAATCATTTTGGTGTTTAAAAAACTATTTTTGGATGATAATTAACTCTTCAGTAACTGTTTGAAATCATCCAAGATGGCCGCTAGCCTCCAAGAGCTCTTAAATAGTTAGCAGGGCTAGAGATATTTCACACAGCCTAAGAATCTCCACTCAAATTTTGCCGTAAACATTTGTCCGATTGATTGACAATACCAACATACAGCATACAACATACTTGAGTGAAAATTTAAAAACGTACGTTTTCATGTCCCTGGCCTTTTACTTCGTAGATACTGGATTTGTAGTTTATTATTATGTGTTTTAATATTTTTTGGGACGGGGGCAACATGTTACACACATTTATTTGGTTTTAAATAGGTTCTAGGTATTTTTTACGTATGTTTAAAGTCTCGAAATTCACGACCATGACGTGTCCCTAGGGTACATTTTCCAACTTTCACGCTGTTTTAGATTAATTATTCATGTTGAAATATATAAAGCCATATTTTTATGTCATCAATGGTTATTAATATTACAAAAAAGGAGCATATTATAATTTTATTGTCATTGCAAACTGACTACCATGACAAAATAAGTCTGTCCCTCGATTTGGCATCACGACCATTTGGGAAAAATTTGCAACTTTGGAGCACGACAGTGGCAAGCCTGGCGTCGATGGAGTCAGTTGGTTTTAGAGACTAGTTCGGGGTGTACGTCAGGATTGTGGTGCCAGTTGTTTCGAGTTGAAAGGAGGAATTACAAGATTAATAAAGGAAAGATTGTGTTTTTTGTAATTTTGGTGTGTCCATGACCGTACGTAGTCATTCGATGAAGTAGACATGGTGTTAAAGTCAAAGTCAAAGTCAAAGTCATCTTTATTGTCACAAAACGTTTTTTTTATGCTCTGGCACAGCCAGACAAAACAGGTGACATTGTCAAACTATACTAAAATAAACTAGCTTATATTGGTAAAAATAAATACATAGTAGGTAACAAAACAAACAATTCACATTGATTTATCTTCAAGAAATTGACCAATACTATAATAATTCTTTTCCAATAAAAATTCAAAAATTTTTTCTTTAAAAGATACTAATCCTATTATAGATTTGTAGTACCCAGGCAAATTGTTAAAAAATCTTTTACCCATATAAGAAGGTGTCCTTTCCACAAGATTTAATCTGTGTATAGGATATTGAAAATCTGTATGAAATCTAGTGTTATAATTGTGCCGATTATTTTCACTGTGGAGTTTTTCAAAATTTGATTTCACATACAATAAACATTTAAGAATATACAAATTAGGGACGGTTAGAATCTTTAGTTCTTTAAAAAGTTGCTTGCAAGAATGTTTTACGGGTTTAAAAGTCATAATTCTAAGTATTCTTTTTTGAAGTTTAAAAAGTTGATACGAATCAGATGTGACGCCCCAATTTTCGTTAATTTTCGTTTATAAGATATTTCAGTTGCTAGATTAACCTAGAAGTCCACTTTGTATCCTCAAACATGAGGTGCAGGGCTACCGCCAGAACAGAGCCAAATAACACCTAATTTCACGACCAAAGTTTCACGACCATCGCGGGTTTTTTCACGACCAATCCAGCCTTATGGATTATAGTAGTGTGTTTGGTCGTGACAATAACTTTAATATAATTGTAATTTGAACAGTTTAGTGCAATTGTAACACTTATTTTTATTATAACTAACAGTATAATTGAAGGATTGTTTAGAAAGATTTAGATTATTTCAGAAAATTCACGACCGTACCGCTTGTCCCTGACCATCACGTTTATGATTTCTATCATAAAAATTTCAAAAATTAAAATATCGTCATATTTCAATGTTTTATACACAAAAGAAGCACACCTCTATACAAACATAACGATTTTTCGGGTCTCAGGTAAGTTTTTTCGGAGTTATACAAACTTAAAAAGATTTTATTGGCTTTTTTCAATTTTTTGAGTTTTTTTTATTTTTTTCTAGAAAGACCAAATATACCAAAAGCTCAGTGACCTTTTTATTGTATAATGGTCATAAAAGTAAATTAGTTTATAGCAAAACATAGTTATACAAATAATATTAACTATTTTTAATATTAATTTAAACGTCTGTTATGGTCGTGACAGGATTTTGTGTTTTTCCACTAAAGATGCTCTTTTTTAAAAAAAATACCAAAGATATTGCGTTACCATGAACATTTTATGAAACTTCAAATGTTAATAAAATAAAAATAATAATAAAAGTTTTGAAAAAAGGGGAAAAAAATTTGCAAAGTGCTTTTCCTGAAAACGTACGTTTTTAAATTTTTACTCACTTACGTACAATATACAACATACATACACACATTTGAGTGTATATTTCAAGATGAATAATTTCAAGGTGTGTCGTGTGTGTATAGAATTAAGTTAGATGAACCAAATGTGTGTTGTTGCTATAAACAAATTGATTGATTTAATTTTTTATCAATTATTACAATGTATTTCTGTTTACATTCATTTTACTTTAATTTTACAGATGCTGCTAAGGACAAAATAATACCCTACAACATTGAATACTGCCCTAATGAAATCCCAACGGAAGGTAATTGCACGATGACTCCTAAGTCGGGAATGAAAGGATTTACATTGTTTGATATCACATGCTTTGGCTGGCAGTCGGAAGGACCGATACTTTATGAATTTTTCGACAAAGGACATGACGATATAGAACACTATCAAGGTAAATGCTGATAAATAAATCAACTCAATTTGATTTTTATGTGAAAATAAAATATGTGTCATGGCTTTTGTAGTCAGTCTCTATGTGATGTGCTTAACTGATGTAATAACTTAAGACCATATGTGCATGTGAATTAATGATCACCTGTTATTTAGCATTTGAGTAGTTGGTCAACGAAAGCAACCTTCTGTATAAAGTAAAAATGGACGATGGAACTGTCTGGAGGCGTCATGTTGATCAACTACTCAAATGCGAAATAACGTTAACGAGTGAAAATTTAAAAACGTACGTTTTCATGTCCCTGGCCTTTTACTTTGTAGATTCTGGATTTGTAGTTTATTATTATGTGTTTTAATATTTTTTGGGACGGGGGCAACATGTTACACACATTTATTTGGTTTTAAATAGGTTCTAGGTATTTTTTTCGCATTTTTAAAGTCTCGAAGTTCACGACCATGACGTGTCCCTAGGGTACATTTTCCAACTTTCACACTGTTTTTAGACTAATTATTCATGCCGAAATATATAAAGCCATATTTGTATGTCATCAATAGTTATTAAACTTACAAAAAAGGAGCATATTATAATTTTATTGTCATTGCAAACTGACTACCATGACAAAATAAGTCTGTCCCTCGATTTGGCGTCACGACCATTTGGGAAAAATTTGCAACTTTGGAGCACGACAGTGGCAAGTTTGGCGTCGATTGCGTCAGTTCGTTTTAGAGACTAGTTGGGGGTGTACGTCAAGTTGGTTGTGCCGGTCGTTTTGTGTTGAAAGAAGTAGTTACAAGATTAATAAAGGTAAGTTTGTGTTTTTTGTAATTTTGGTGTGTCCATGACCGTACGTAGTCATTTGATGAAGTAGACGTGGTTTTAATTTTTTTTTATATGATATTTCAATTGCTATATTAACCTAGAAGTCCACTTTGTATCCTCGAACATGAGGTGCAGGGCTACCGCCAGAACAGAGCCAAATAATACGTAATGTCACAACCAAAGTTTCACGACCATCGTGGGTTTTTTCACGACCAATCTAGCCTTATGGATTATACTGTGTTTGGTCGTGACAATAACTTAAATATCATTGTAAATTGAACAGTTTAGTTCAATTGAAACACATATTTTTATTATAACTAACAGTATAATTGAAGGATTGTTTCAAAAGATTTCGATTATTCCAGACAATTCACGACCGTACCGCTTGTCCCTGACCGTCACATTGATGATTTCTATCATAAATATGTAAAAAATTTAAATATCGTCATATTTCAATGATTTATACACAAAAGAAGCACACCTCAATAAAAACATAACGATTTTTCAGGTCTCAGGTAAGTGTTTTTGCCGTTTTCGGAGTTATACAAACTTAAAAGATTTTATTGGCTTTTTTCAATTATTTTAGTTTTTTTTTAATTTTTTCTAGAAAGACCAAATATACCTAAAGCTAAGGCTGGGCGTATGCTGAGACGCACGCGTGTATGTGACTGACACACGCGTGGGCCGGCCTGTCACAGTTTTCGACGCATGCAACACAGCTTGGGTGCAAGCACGAAACACAATATAAGACGAACCGATTCCTCAATTCCCTTGTCGGACTCGAAGTAGTAGGTACTTTCAGCCATCTTGACAACTAACCAGCTGTGTTCTCTGCAACTAAATGCGTGTGCTGCGTGGCATGTCTCAGTTTGTAGCACAGACACAGATTTTCAGACACACTAAACACAACTCGTGTGAACGATGACAACAAACAAACGAGCGTCGATTGAGTTCCAATGTGAATTATCTGTGGTGTATGCAGTTTTGAAACGTCATGATAGACTATCGGTACGGACCTTTATAATTTAAAAATATTCTTATTTCCATTTTTGAATCCACGTAACACATTGTACTTGTTTTTAAAATCCTGTTTAGAGCTGAAAATCCAAATCAAAGGTTCATAAACTAAACTTAATATTAATATTAAGTGATTTTGGGAATTTTTTTTTTTATTTTCATCTTATTTTTGTATGTAGAATCTGGTTCTGCTACGTTTTTTTGTGATACTCTGTATTTTTAGCCATAGCTTCGTAATTTAGGGAAATGCCTCAATTACACCTATATAATTCCTATACGTTAATTAACTAGTTCAGCACATGTATTAATATTTTATCAATGCATTATTCACATTTTATATTTGAAAACATTACTATGCAACTTATTTGCATTGCATTGGTTTTCCAGCATCTCAGCAGGAAACGGTAGTGGTGGCCGCATTCGTACCGACCTGTAGATATTTGCGAAAACGTTCGAATACACGTAGGTTTACATTCTTATGAGATGCTCCCCTTTATTTATTAAGTAGTTTTTTTTTTTATATGACTGCATTTTCCAATATGGCTGATAACTTAAATATTTTTTATGGAACACCCTGTAGCCTATTTTATGATTGTTTTGGAAAGTAAATACGATTTCAAAAAGTTTGTATTCATTAAGTTCTTTTTATTAGCGAATTTCCCATATAGGGAATAAGCTATTACCGTAGGTCTCATGGTAAGACCTAGACCCGGGAACGATTTACTTTTTCGTTTTGAGGTCCCCAGAGGCCAAAAACACCATCCGTTCAAATTCATATATATATATATATTTATATATATATATATATATATATTTATATATGTGTCCGTTAGCGCGATAACTCGAGCAAAATTGATCCGATTTTGATGAAATTTGGTACAAACGTGTAAACCTACATTTATTTGAACGAGTTCGTGAACCAGCATAATCGGACAATGGGATCAGGGGTTTATGGGAGGTTTTATGGGGTAAAAATCGGTTTTTCTCATTTTTGACCCTAAAAACTTTAAATTTCTTAATTTCTCTCTAGACCATTTTGAAGAGCTTAAAAAAACAAATAATTTAGTATATTGAAGTGTTTTTAAATGTTCATTGACTACGGAGAAAATTAAAAAAATTGTAAATTTAAAATTCCCACGTTATTCTTAAGGAGAATAAATAAACTGTTCTAGTTTGCTTGTTTATGGATATATTTTAATCAAATTTGGCAATTTGGTTTATTTCATACTAAGCTATCAATATTTCAATTGAAAAAACACACCTCAACATCTTCCCCGTAGCAGCAAACCTAACTACTCACTAAAATTAATGTTATTTAAAAATGGAAATAAATCTGAAAATTTATAGGGAATATTTTTGTAGAAATCAAGCCGGGTAAATGGAAATTCGCTTAGTATGCAGGTTTGCTGCGACGGGGTTATTAAGCTACTCGTTTAGGAGTTACGGCTTGTTGCACTTAAAAAAAAGTGGCTTGCTTTGTACATTCTGCATCCTGCAGCTCATAAACAAGTATGTTTGGAGAGGATAATGCATATACAGTAGAAAATAAGGCTTAGGCCTAAATAGTGTCTACATCCAAAAAATGTCATATAATAAAATACATTAAAAATATTGATTCAATTTATTTCAAAATGACTACCATTTGCCTAAAGTGACAGCTAACTTTAAAATTGAAACACTCTGTATTTTATGGTCTTTTAGATGCTATTTTAAGTACCAAGGCGTATTTACTCTTTGAATTTACTCTCAAAACTTACTCGTTTAGGAGGTACAGGAGCAGAATGTACACCACATGCAATTTTTTCTTAGGTGCAACCACAGACAAGAGACCACCATTAATTGTCTATTAATGTAATGCAAAAAGCTGTCTGTAACTCCTAAACGAGTAGCTTTAGAAAATAATTTAAGATAAATAGTATTTTTTTCATCACTAGGGCCTAAAGTGACTCTTTTTGACCAGAGGTCAAGTTTTACGTTCGAGGCGAAACAGAGGTCGGAAAATCAGCGAGGGTTAAAAAGTCACTTTTTGCCCATGTGGTGAACTATATTTTCCGTCATATTGAATCATTAATTAACTAAAATAGAGCTAGAAAACTAAATGATTTTTATGTAAACATAACCTCTCAAAACAACTTCCAGCTTGTTTTCAATTCTGCTAATGCAAATAAGCAAGTGTTTACTAAGTGATTCAATTATTTTGTCTATTATGATTGTGTTATATCATCGAAATGTCGAGCAATCGACAATAGGCTAAAACCTTACCTAATAAATCAATCGATAAATAATTTCGAACGATACGATTGCAAGAATCAAAATTTACAACTGTTTACAACAGCTGCAAATCAGTTAACTACTTGGTGACTGCGTAGTGCATGTGTTGCGTGTGCTGCGTCTCAGCATGCGCTAGTCAAAAATTGGTGTGCTGCGTGGCTCATCGATGGGAGTTATTATACATAGATGGCGTGGCTTGCGCCGAAAAACTTGGCTTGCGTGCGTTGTCACGTGCGTCTCAGCATACGCCCGCTCTAAGTGAGCTGTTTATTGTATAATGGCCATAAAAGTAAATTAATTTATAGCAAAACATAGTTATAAAAATAATATTAACTATTTTTAATATTCAGTTTTTATGTCCGTGATGGTCGTGACATAATTTCGTGTTTTTCCATCAAAGATGCTCTATTTATAAAAATCACCAAAGATATTGCGTTACCATGGACATTTTATGAAACTTCAAATGTCAATGAAATAAAAAAAAAATTAAAAAGTTAAAGAAAACGGAACAAAAAATTTTAAAAGTGCTTTTCCTGAAAACGTACGTTTTTAAATTTTCACTCTAACAAAACATTTCAGAGGGGAGAATTTGATGTGTTTAACTGATGTAATAACTTAAGACCATATGTGTATGTGAATAAATGATCACCTGTTATTTTTTATTTGTTTTGTTTGTATTAGTTTTTCTGTTCACATTAAAATATGAGTTTGATTCAACTGAACTAATTTACTTATTATTTGAAAATGTAACACTACAGTTATACTAAACATATAGCGTGTCCAGTCCAGTGTCAATAGCTTGGTAAAAAAGCTGTGATCTGTATTACTTACTAATACTCATCCTTGCCCTGAAATATGCATCCAGAAGTGTTGGCCCCTAATAATTAATCTAATCTAATCCAGGATAATCATGGACAGCACTCATTCATTGATAATACATGCTTTATAGTCTTAAACTCAGCTTAACACGCACACTGGTTTTGCCATAGATTTTATAAGTGGCTTAACAATCTTTTTTACCATAGATCAATTGCTTGCATAAAATAAATTATATTACATTCTTATATTTTTGCACAACCAACCTGGTAAGTTTTAGGTTTCTGTCTTAACATAATTATAAAAAGTTTTCTAATGCATTAATGACACCGTGAATTGTTACAGACCATATTTGTTTAACTAATCCATGATTAATTTCAGGTAGAATGACTGGATATTCATATTCAGGTATTTATTCGCAATTCAGGTTGACTCGAGGCAGGGTCGTAATATATTTACTCAATGAGGACGGAGACGGACCTTCTGTCACAATCAATGTTAAGGTAAGGAATTAAAGTCATCATACAAGTAATGCCAATTCATTCTGTGAGCGTTTAATCCCTACCTCTGCATCTAATGTGTTTGTACAAATACCTTTTGGACATTCTAAAATGACAACTGGTAAAGGATGTTTATAGTTTTACTTTCATTTTTAAGATAGTTTGCCCCTTAATACCGAGATTTACTACAAGTGATTGAGGTGCTTTATTTAACAAAATAAAAGGTTTACAATCATACAATAACAAATAAAGAGCCTAACTATACAATTACAAAATTGAAAGTTGGCCTATAACTTACAACAATGGTCTTTTGGACCGTCTGTTGGTTGGCATACAATAAATATTAACAAGCATCTTTTTACTTTCTCCCCCGATACATAGTCTATGGAGAAAGTATTGTTTTCGTCAAAATTTTCAAGTTTGAGTTTTGAGTGGATATATCCATTTTGGGCCCCCCTGAACCCCAAAAAGTTGTTTTCAAAGTGATGTCTGTATGTGTGGATGTGTATACAGAGCTACAGACCACACCAGTAGTCCGATTTTGATGAAATTTGGTTTATAGGTACTAATCCATGGTATCTAAAGGTATTTTTTTAATTTTTTTGAAATTTGTGTTTTAAATTTCTTCATAAAACCATAAAATAACGGAAAAATCAGATTTTCTCAAAAATGGCCTGAACTATTTTTATAAAAATCTAGTATGTTATAGTCCTTTAGATTCTGAACAAAATGGTTTAAGTCCCATTTATGTAAATATTACGGTTCAAAAGTTATTGTAGCTTATGTTATTTTCTCATAAAAAAATCCCATAAAATTACAAAAAATCGGAATTTGGGAAAAACACGGTTCTGATTAAAGTTAATTTGTTATGGTCCTTATAATTGTAAACAAAATAATGCAACCCCCATTACTGTAACATTTACGGTTTAAAAGTTATTGCAACTTTTGTTATTTTTTCCTACAAAATTTTAATAGTTACTCCCACTGCTTTCCCATGATAAAGGTTGTTGACAAGCTTATGGGAGAAAGTATGTGTCAGATTGCTGATACCGTTTATTTAATTTTATAACAAATAATGGTTTTGCAAGAAAAATAAGTTAGATTTAGTTAATTTACAATAAAATAAAAACAATTTAAACTTGAACAGCTATAAAACAGAAATACCTCATTTTCTCTGGCATGGATTCCTATTGACAGCTAAAAATGAAGAGCAATGATTTGCCATATTAGGTCATAAAAGAACTGAATGCCAGAGACGGTGCGAGTCTTTGAGGGCTTAGGTCATGTTGATTTTACCACCTCAAGAAATGTAGTCTGATCAGTGCAGGAGTTTCACACTACAGGCTTGCCAACTGTGTGTGTAAATACTAAATAATTATTTGTGTGACTAACTAGAGACACTTTGCTGCACACAGGAGAAATGTTTACGCTCAAGCCACAGGAGAGTGTGGAAAGTTTCTCGATTGCAGCAAAGGCATTTTGCACTCGCAAACACATTATATTTTTCTTACAGTTACTATAAAAGCATATAAAAAAATAGTCTTTCACACTATATCCAACACGTTTTTAGGTTAGTTTAATTACAAGCGTTCTCCAAGTTATCCAAGTGTTGAACGAAATGGGAAACGCTGGACCAGCTAGCTGATCGTAGTTGTAGTATCTTTAAGTGTTGCCAATCTATTTCGAAGAGTACACGGATTATGCGCCTAATAAAATCACACTGTTTTGTGATGTTTGGTTGAATTCTGGAGTGTAGCAAAAAAAATAATGTGATAAAAGTTAAAAGAGTACGGAAAAATTAAAAGAGTATAGCAAAAGTAAGGAAATGCAGCAATTAGCAACTTTCTGTACTATAATCAGTGCAAAGAAGCCCAATTTGTCAGGTGAATGTAGGAAAAGCATATATTTTCTCTCCTCCCCCCCCCAAAAAAAAAAAAAAAAAATTAAAAGAAGCATCTTTAACACTAAGTGTCTTAAAAGATTTGGAGATTAATTACTTACAAGGGCCATCTTTAAAATATTTTTATAAAATTTTCATAAGCTGACAGCATTATAGAACTACAGTAGAACCTTGATAACAAAACTCTCAAGGGAATTGTAAAATAAGACTTGTTATCAAGGTTGACTTCTTATTGAAGTTTGTAATAACATGTGATTAGGGGTAAAATAATTATAAGGGGATTTGAAAATGACACTTATCATCAAGGGCGACTTGTTATCGAGGGTCTTCTTATCAAGGTTCCACTCTTCTTTGGTGATTGTAAACAGTTTAAGTTTTAAAATTTGTTTTTTTCCAGTTGTATGACTTTGACAGAAATATAACGCATATTGAATACTTAATGAACGAAATTGATGATTACATGGGATACAATAATTATCAACGTAAGTTAATTCTATATGTAAATAATTTACAAATTTTTCAATAGATTAGTGTAGTTAAATAAGATCAGATCACTGTATACTAATGGTGGGTATATTGTTGATAGCTTCTTTATATAAATCTGAATAGCAGTATTATATTAGATTGAAGGTTTTACCAAAATATTTTGTGTTGCTTTCCACATATCAAGTAAATCAAGTTTTATACTTTTATCTTTCTTTTATTTTCAATCATTGTTGGGATACAAAAATATTGCAATTTTTTCATCAAAATATATTCCTCTATTTTTATGGCTAATATGTAAAGAGAAAGCATAACAAGATTATAAAACTCAGACAAATTGCATGGTATGAAAATTGCCCATAGCAGCAAATCTGGGGAATTGCCAAGTGATGGTTAAATCAAATCTGTTTTCAAAAAAGGATATTGTTGCAAATGGAAATGTAAATCACTTAAATCAAAACAAAATATACACATTACAATTATTAAACAATGTTTAGGTTTCTGGTAAACAGGCCCACTTTTATAAACGGGCAGACTGGGCATATGCCCAGGGGCGCCGGTGGTTGGGGGGCGCCCTGAACCACCGCACGCACTAGGAAAAATATGGTTTTATCAGCCGGGGATTTCAAAAATATAATGGGTGATTTCAACTTGTAGTTAAGTGATTTTCCCCTATTGTAAAAGTAAATAAATACAACAAAATTGAAAATACTTGACTTTCAGGTTATACCTCATGTAGTCAGGGAAAGGCAGGCAGCAGTGTGAACCGGGCGCACTCACTATACTATCAGATGGTGGAAGGAATTAGCACATAGGTGTGCTAATTCCCGTCATATGCTGACGTCACTCAGATTGCAAACACCATTTTACCATTGAGAAAAATTGTAAAAACAATAACAATCAAATCAAAACAAATATATACTTATATGGCAATACATCAGCTGATTTTTGTTTGCAATTTGGGTGATGACAGCAAATTACGGGAATAGCATGTAGGCCAGCTGTAGTCTAAGGGCCCCTAAGGGCCTACGGTTGACTTGCCCCTCCTCTCCCTCCCAGTCCCACCCCCATCCCCACAAGTCACAACTACCAACTACCGCGCGGCGCCAGTCCAAGTCCAGTCCAGTACTCCTCACTAGTCAGTAGGTTGTGTTCGTGTTGTGCCTGCTGCACAGTCGTCAAATCAGTCACAACACAACCTAAACTGTGACAGTAACTAGTCAGTGTTGACACTCAAACTGCAGTTAGTGAACCAGTAATAAATAAATAGAGAATCAATTTATCAATCAATTACTTAAGATGGGGACGCCACTATGTGCGTATTTTAACCCAAATATGAGTGAAGGATGAGTGTAGGATGAGTGGCGCGATCTTGTAGTCTTGTTAGTGACTAAGGCCGACATGTTCCTTAGTCACAGCTGTTAATTAATAGCCCATACAGCTAATGGCAACTAAGGGACCTACAGTTTATAGTGGAATCCGAACCACATTTTTTCCTTGTAATTTACGAATTGGTCTAATTATCAGGATAGTACTGCGGATAGTCGTAGTACTCACTAGTGCGGACGTTAATCCACACCAGGGAGCATCGCATCCACAGTAAATCCCTATAAATATCCACAATTCGTGACCTCCTAGTAGCTGGATTACAGGACGACGCCACCCGTAAGTGTTGATACAAGTAAGTAGGCCTATAAACAGTGAAAAATGCATAAAAAAATTATGTGGAGCCGAGAGCCGCAAGCGGTTGGCTCAAAGAAAACAAACTCAAGAAGCAGTTTTAAAGAAAGTGAAATGTATTAACCAGTATTTCCACTGATACGGAATTGAAAACTCCCTCCCAAAACAAAACTGGTAAAAAAACACGCTAATGTATAAATATATATATGCATAGGCCTATAGTAGAACCATGGAAAAAAACATACTCCCTTAGTAGAATCTCGTTCAATACATGTGTAATGCAATAAACTGCACACTGTACTGTACTGAACAGTAATCAAATCACTGCGTGCGTAGTGCAATAAGCTACTGGCGTAGGGCAAGAGGCATTCGCATAGCAACTACTGTCAAGTCCATTGCACTCACCCCAACCCCCAACCCACCTGCTGTGAATTTCTACGAACTAACGAGTCAGCCCCCCTTCCTCTTCCCCTCCCTACACTGCTGTGGTCAAAACCTGTATAGTTATATATATATAAGGGGGGCGCTGCTTTAGGGTTTGCCCAGGGCGCCACTGACCCTTAACGCGGCCCTGCTGGTAAACCTAAAACAAAAAAAGTATTGTGGTCCAAGACTTAGGTTTTACTTGAAGACTGCAGTTATTACCTTCATGTTTTCCAGTAAATGATAATGCATCAAGTTTTATTAACAGATTTTCCTTCCAACCATCACTCTCTTCTGTATGTCTGGTCCACCACCACCTCTGCTGGTAGTGAGTGTGTTAAAATAAACTTGGATTTATGTTTCAGCTGCACAAGACCTTATGTCCACTCTGGCTGAAATACTGTATAAAGACTTGAACAATGAATACTACATTCGAAGAATTATATCTTCAATGGCCAGGGTTTGTGACAACACATTTAGCTTTTTAGTACCACAACTTTTAACCACTATGTTCCAAAGTCCATTATAATTTCCGTCACAAGAAACACAACCAAAACCATAGATTGAGGAATCGTAACCTTTTTAATACTTTTTTCATTAAATTGGCGACCATACAAAGTAGGTATTTTAAGCCAAGTATGAATGGAGATGAGTGTAGGATTAGTGGCTTGATCTTGTGGTCTTGTTAGTGACTAAGACCGACTTATTCCTTAGACACAGCTGTTTTAATAGTCCACACAGCTAATGGCAACTAAGGGACCTACAGTTTATAGTGGAATTCGAACCACATTTTTGCCTTGGTTTTAACAAATTGGTCTATTTATCAGGATAGTACTGCGGATAGTCGTAGTACACAATAGTGCAGATGATAACCCACACCAGGCAGTATTGCATCCACAGTGCATGCCTCCACAATTTGTGACCCCTATTGTTCTGATCTGGTGTTAATGATTTGTGGAATTATTGAGCGTTTCTCTATCTATGACTAAGACTTTGAAGATCCACTTTTTAAGAGGATGGTTCAGTGGTAGTTATTTGGATGAGTGGATTCTTACAGAGTTCCACCTCAAATCAGGCATATTTTGCTATTTTTTATTGATTTTTACCGTGTCTGTGTTAACTATTGTTTTATAAGAACTAGATTGTCTAACAGTGTTTCAATAAGAACAACTCACAAATTTCTCCCTGATCATTTCATACAATAATGTACTTTTTCCCCAGATTGAGTATGATTCAGCGGAGAGTATGAAGCTTGGAATTTCAACAATACTCTCTGTTTTGGTCAACGGAACACTGAAAGGGACATATTTATTGGACGACGTACTAGAAATGTACACTGGGAGGATACTGTTGAAACTCTCCAAAGTTTATCTGAAATATGCTGTAAAACCTGACCATACACCTCGACTGCGGGCAAAACACGTTCACCAACTTTCCAGGTGAAAATTTAACTTCTTTAATTTACTCGAAGTACGTAATTATGTTCTATTACGAAAAATCGGTGTAAACAAGAAGGGATACTGAAACACAGCAAAGTAAATAATATTTTCTTACTTCATTTTATTAATTGTGGATTATAATAAACTATTGTAAGATTTCAATATTTCATTAAAAAATTAGAAAATATATTCTTTTCAAAGATGATTTAACATTAAAAAATATTATCTTTTTAAATTATTAGTGGATTATTTTAAATTGAACATCTTTAAAATTCAATAGTAGTTAAGGTCATGTAAATTAGGAATTCAACGCCAATTAATTTTTCAATTTTTGAGATGTCAAAAAAATTAACAAAAGCGAAGAGTAGAGAAAGAGTTCATGAGCCCATGCGTATCCCAGTCTTCACTCTAATTGACACATTCTATAATACGGTACCTCAAACCAAACCTGGATGCCTCAAAATTCATTATTTCTCAAAGTTTTTAACTGACACATAAAAACTCTACAGTCAACAGCCCATAGAGAAATAATACCTCTGTAAATTAAAGAGTTTAAAGTTTAAAGCATTTTAGATAATAAATCAAATGATTTATTATTTCTTCAGATGACGTAGTGCTTTGTCACTGGATTGAGAAGTTATTTGAAACTTTTTTATCATGATAATGTGATTGATAATTTAGGTTACATGCTAGTATCCTTATTACTAATCATTCACTTAGTGCAAATAATATTGTAAATACATAGGAGAAAGTTTTATTCTAAGTGCTTAACAAATTTTGAAGAATTTTCATCTCCAACATTTACTAAATCCCACATTTTACCCTAATATTTTATTTTGACTTAAAATGTTGTTTTATGTTTTCAGAAATATGATGGATTGTGTGGATATGGCCGTTATTGCTCAAGATAGAAACGTAACTAAACTTGCTCCCGAGGAAAACATCAACTATGATGTGTACGACAATGTTCGTAACCTAAAATATTAGTTTTACAATTAATTCTTGACATACTCATTGGAAATTTACAAAATCTTTAGCTTTTACTGCATCAGTGCAGTGTTATATGTTTGTCGGTGTGTAAAAGATATACGATTGACCTTTAATAATGCGGGCCACATTAATACCATCTTTGCTTAACCCATTGGGGAAGGAATTAATGCGCTACCTGCAGCACCCTCTGGCGGCAATTAATTTTACCGAATTTGTAGACTTTTACTCTAACTGCTATAGAAAGAAAACCTTAGGTAGTAAATTAATAATTCTTTCACCATTTTGTTCACAGTAAAATTATCTACAGAAAAGTGGTAATTGGATAGTCAAAGTTCTAAACAAAAAAAAAATATATATATAAAGATTATAAAAATAAAAATTTTAAAAACAATATTTTGAAAGTAAACTTGATATACAAATTCCAAGATTAATCCAGACACCAAATAACACTACTATTATAAAGGTCAATCGATTCCCTACGTAGAAAAATCAAAAGTTGTGTACTTTTATAAGTAATAACATTTAAAAAAAAAATTTTGTTTACCTTACCGCAGCAGATTTTTGGTGATATGTGGTTTCCATTGCAACACAAAATTGTTTGTTATTCGCTAAAATAAATGAGTAAATACACATATCAAGAAGCAATATATTTATAAACATTATAATAGTAAGAAGAAACAAAAAGGGCGAAAAATAATAATAACTAAATAAAAAATGGCGCTGCCTAGCGGTGATACGAGCGGCTCTCGTAAGTCGGCCGCCGGGCCTGCAGCGGCCGTACGAGTAACGCTCGTAAGTCGGCGCCAATGGGTTAATCTGAACAGCCATTTATAGCAGTTTATGAATGTTTCATCTACGCTAGGAACCCGCCATCAGTTGAATAGTCTAACGGTTTATTAGACAAGGATGTCTAGCATTAGTGCTGTAAGCACTTCTAAAGTCGAGATTAAAATAATCACTCCTGAAGAGTCTCTGGTAATTGATAGAGCCCAGTCAAACATCAAGTAAACTTACAAGCTGCAGTATTCTTTTTATAATCTCTGCAAAACGCAGGAATTTGCCTCTCACCATTGTTCCAATAATGGTCTCCCTTACCTAAGTCATCTCACCAAGCTATTTTTTTTTTTCAAATTAAATGACAGAGGAAGAATTCAGTCCATGACCAACACCCTCTTATCTTTTTCTTGCAAATAATCCTCTAAAATTCACTCAAACCAACCGTTACACCTATAACACTAGTTATAAAACGAATTCCCTATTTCATCACAATACAAGTTAAAAATCCTTTGAAATAAAAATCCTACATAGGATAGTATTCATCACCTACCCAGCAACACCAGGACTGGTATTCTTCATATTCTTCGACTTAAACTTCATATTCCCTTAAATAGTATTTTTCTACCACACTGAAAATGTAGGTAACTGTTTAGCTTCCTATTGTCGAATATGATTTTATAAGAACATAATTATTTTAAGATAAAGTATGTAAGTTTGTGACCCCATTCATAGAACTGTACCTCAATAATAAAAGAAATTTGATTTGATTCTCAAAAATATTAAGTAGGCATATAAATGCTTTTTACTAAAAAGTGAGCAATCAAGTTTGCTCATTTTGTCACAATCAACTAGGCCTATAACTTTTGTCTTGAAAAGTATTTTTTGTAGGGGAAAATAATTGCTTATTATGTCAAACATTCCTTTTTTTAAATTTGTAGCTAAATGTTGCCTCCAATGACATGGCCGAGGCACTGATGATTTCCATGTATTTGGTGGGTCGAGTTCAGCCTTATGGAGCGGTGGGGAGGCAGATAAGGTCGACGGAAGGAGTTTCTGAAATGTATTCCTACGTAAGTTACCTCTACATAGCTAGATTTTTCAATTCAATTTCGCTAGATTTTTCAATTTAGTTCTTTACGTACATTTCAGAGATAATCTGGGGTTTGCATGCATGTAAAATGAAAATATGTACTTATAGTTTTGGACATGTAATACCATGTGTTAGTAGTATAAAATACAAAATATAAAATTAGGATTATTATGTACAAGGATAGGGATCAGCTAGCTTACCTGGTAGATAGAGTCCAGATTAGCCTTGATTACACATAAAACACATGACACAACACAGAAAAACTTCTGTGTTACTAAAGTTACTGTACTAAAGTAAAAGTAACTACTGTACTAAAGTAGTAGTAGTAAGTAAGTAAGTAAGTAAGTAAGTAAGTAAGTAAGTAGTAGTAGTAAGTTAGCAGTAGTAAGTACTGTACTAAAGTTAAAGTACTGTACTAAAGTTTTTCTGTGTTGTGTCATGTGTTTTATGTGTAATCAAGGCTAATCTGGACTCTATCTACCAGGTAAGCTTGCTGATCCCTATCCTTGTACATAATAATCCTAATCAGCCAATTGGCCTTTCCTTAACTCCTAAAATATAAAATTAGTGATTTACAGACAGTATTGAAGACATGCTTTAACTAACCCATTTGATGAGAGCGTTAGTTGAAGTGAATTTAGTTCAGGAGAAGTCTCAAATTAGTGTATTCTTTTTTGAAAGTATATGTTGTAAATGGATGAATTATAAATTCAATATACATTTGAAATGAACTCTGCCCATTTATTGGTTTACAGGTCAACAATGCAGATGGCTTGGTAGATGTGGCTGGTTCAAATATCACCTCCTATGTTAACATCTCAAAAAGTCTGGCCAATACATTCGATGAAAACCACGACTTAATGCTTCAGGTATTGTAACATAATTGTGAAAAATCAAATGTTTTAAATGATAATCAGGGGGAGGGGCTAGGTAAACTATTATGTGTCTCAATATGTTTTAGAAATTAAATTTGATAAAATTTTTGATAATGTAGTATAATCCCAAAAAAAAAACTAGTTAAAGAAAGAATATTTTAATCTTAATGTCATCCCAACACTAACTCAAATCATCACAACAAAAACATAAACGAACATAAACCATATGCTTTCAACAAGACAGCAAAATAAAGACTATTAAACAGGTAATCCAATATCACACTTCTCCCACTTCAGATAAAGCTCCACTTCTCTTACAGTCTTACGTAGTTGGTCTGCGTGTTTACGCTTCAGAAGTCCACCACACGAACTTGGTAGGTTAGCTCACCAGTTCTTGATGTAGTACCCAGACTTCTCCCCCCTCTGAAAATTCCCTATGTCTACTTTTTCCATGGTGATAATACTTTTGTTTAAAAAACTGATTCTGTTATCATGTCTTTAACCGTGGGCTTTAAATTGTCCAATGGAGACAAAGTCTTTGGCAAAAAACTGTTATGAAGGAGGTTTGCTCGTGGACTTTTGTGGTGTGTTTCTGTATGCAAACAGTAGCTTCGCCAACTTTTGTGTTTGATCTTGCCTTCTCGATTTGAAGGTTTTGATAAACGGTTCAACTTGGCCATTCGTCTTTGGATGATACAGTGTACTGCAGACATGTTTGATTGTGTTATCCTTGCAAAACTTCTCAAAGACCTCTGCAGGGTTTGCCCTGTAACCATAATGTAACTAAAATGTACAATGTAACCATATGCTTTCAACAAGACAATGAAATAAAGACTATTAAACATGTGATCCAATATCACAGATACCGTGAATAGGTTACAAATTACAGAAATTCATTTAATTTAATATGGGCTAACTTTTTTTTAGTTGAACTCGCACTTCCAAATTTTCTTTTTTTCAGTTATATGTTTCTGTTATTTCAGTTATATATTTCAGTGATATATATCTAAACCATTATTTTTTTATCTTTTTTATCTAACACCTCTCGATTTGTAAGGTTGATCACTCTTACAGTTGAACATTCCACAAACATAGATGTGATTTCTTAGCAATAAATAACATATTTTATTGAACATTAATTGGCATACATTACCCCATTGAACATTGGTCCCCAATTGGCAGCAGCACAATTTATTGGTAAAAAAACTAATCATAGCTGGACAATATTAATTGAATGTGCTGACTGCTTCTAAAAAAAGTTGTATACAACAACTTTTTACATTACATTTCATTCCAGTTTGCACCTATAAAGAAAAATCTCTTTTGGTGGGCGCAAAACAACATCAACACCGAAATCATCATGGTCGGGCTGGCAGAAAGGCTGTACAGACCTGGTTATTACTATGTCCCAAAAGTGGAAGCCCCTGTCCAAATCTTCATGAAGGTGAAGAAGATGGAAAAGACTACAGTTAGAGGAGTGGCTACCCAACTTGACCCAACGCTAGATAATGACACACTGGACAAGATAGTTCTAGTGCACCGCTTCATTCTGCCACCACTGAGCAAACTATTTATAACCTTCAAGTTTGACGGGAACAGTTCAACTTCGCCTTTGAGGGTGAGTAGGATACGTAATTGTTATACAGTACAGTAAGAACTAACAGTTGACAAAATAGTTCTGGTGCACTGCTTCGTTTTTACAGCAAACTGTTTGTGATCTTTTAATTTCTATAGCTCAACTTGGTCTTTAAGCGTAAATGGGACAACTGGTTTTTGATACAGGCGTACAGTTTATGCTATGGCATTTAGGCCTACAGTGGATGCTGCTAACATGAAAGATGTGGTGCATTATCCTCATCTGTGAAAGTGCTGCCATTTTTTTAAGGCTCTTGCCCAGGAATTGGGTTTTGCATTACTTCAGGCTAAGTCTAGGTGTAACGATATTATCACTTGGATAAAATCCATAGGGGATTGGTGAAATATGAAGTCAGATACTCTATAGGCCTGCTCGCTCCCCAATTTCCTGCACATTGTTGACCAAGGTGCAGGATGGGGCGGATGTCGCTCAATAATTGCATAGATAAAGGCATTTTTTTCTCCTTCCTTCTCAGAATACTGCTTATATAGTAGCGGCAGAAACATTAGTCAATTTCTACTAAATAAGGATATCGCTATTAAAACAAAACTCATAGAAATCAACTAAGAAATTATCACAACAACAATTGTTACAAACTAAACAACAACAACTAAATTAACTAAAATTTCAGGTATTGATTAATTTTAACGAGCGACCTAACTGGGAGGCCTTGTCTGGAGCTAATGTTGTTTCACAACAAAACCCAGACGTGGTTATCCCATATGACATTGTTGAAAGAGAACACTTCTACTTCATGGGAATCCTTCCAGATAAAAGTGTGAGTATACGTTTTCACCACGAGAATCAGCTGTTTATGAAATGTTACTAGCGATGAGTAAAAGTAACATTGCAGGCTAGGAGCAAAACTGATACTTTCACTCATGTTTATTGGCAGTTGATTTGATCAAAATATAAATCAGCAAATTTAGGTTAAAATACATATATATATACTAGTATTAAAAAATAGCCATGTTATTTAAGAGATGATTGCTGTAATTTTTTATTGCGATTAGTAAAAAGTGAGGGTTTCAAAACATTTTGTTCCGGAGTGTTGCAAAAGAACCTATAGCAATGAAAAAGATACATAAACCACTCTGAAACAGGAAATCACAACAACAAAATACCAATAAACCACACAGAAAACTGCATAGTAGTCCAGAAATACCCCTTTAATTAAACAGTATAACAATAACAGACGAAATTAGGAGAATATAATGGACATGTAATCACAAGATAACGGCTCAATCGAGACTGAGATACCGTCAGGCAAATTACCGAAGTAATAGCGACGGAATCTAAAAATGGGTTTCACGGACGTGAAACAAACTCTATCGCCCAAGGCGGAGTGACGTAAAATGCCACATAAAAAGGGAGAATTTTGACTTTTTATTTGGCATTTACATATTTTCTTGTGATTTCAGTTAACATTTTGTGTGAATGTTGAAGAGGTGTTTTAGTTTTCCTATTTCCCAAGACCTTTTTTTCCTTACGCTTCAGTTCATTGGTTATTATTAAAAGCCATACTGGCTGGATTCCGACTGATGATTGGCTTATTGATTGGCTTGCTAATTTTATCTATAGCTTTTTCATATATAAAATTTGTACTAGTAAACAAATTGTTTTTGGGTTTCTCATTCTGAATGTTGTAGAAGTGGATGGACTATTCAATTTAATGTCTAAGGTACATACGTTAACGTCATCAGTAACAATGAGGTAGTTGGAATTGTAATTAGTTTTAGTAATTTTTATGTTATATTTTAGGTTCCAGTAAATTCCACTGTTGACTATTCTTTTGATCTTCATTTTGTGAATTGCCATATCTGGGAAAATCAGTGGATTAATCATTATTGTTTGGTAAGTAAATCGCTCCTACTTTTCAAATGCTTGATTGCAAAGGGTATCATCTTTGACCTATAAGTCAATGGTATCATAATGAATAATCACTAGAGGTTGACTATTCCTAATTGTAAATTTTATACAAAAAACAAAACAAATAATACAAAAAATATTAATTTAGTGACCAAATATACATTCAAGCAGTGTTTGGTTGGTACCGGTAATACACTGCTGGCAACTTGCACTTGGTTGGCAAAAGCCAAATTATCCTTATCAAACAATATGCTATAGGTATATAACTAATCGCCTCTTGTTTTTAGTTTTTTCCAATTAACCAAAAAATTTAAGTAACTTTTTGTTGTCAAAACTATGTTATGTAAAGAAGGCCACCAAGAAGCTTAGTATTTCTCGTGGTGAAAATTGAGTATTAATTAAAGTTTCGTTTGCGTTTGTATTTTTATTTTCATCATCATCTTTTGATGAACAAAACCTTGAAAGATATTTAGGCAGATCGAGTTTTAACTAGTTGTGCTAAATTTTGATAAGCGCAAAACAGCTGTAGCTACGATCAAACACAAATTCATCATCATGCAACATTTCCTATTCAATCTTGTTTAAACTTATATAAATACAATTTACACATTTACAGGTTGGACCAAAAACATCGGAAGAGACAGTTGAATGTCAGTGCACTCACATGTCGATATTTTCAAGTTCAATTTTCGTTCCACCAAACGACATCAATCCCATTTTAGACGCACCTCTATTCCTCACAGTTCCAGAAAATCCTTATGTGGTAATTTTTGTGATTGTTATCCTTCTTTTGTTTCTGCTGCTACTTTTGTGGGCTTATCGAAAAGATCGGAAGGACGCACTTTGTGTAAGTATTTTTAATGAGCTACAATAACTATTATATCAAATCAAATAATTTTATTGAGCTAAAAAGTTGACAATACATTGCATTATGTATTGTATAAATAATTTGTTTGATTTTAAACACATCTAAATGTGTACAAGGATGTCAAAAACCAGTATTTCTTTAAGACAATGTGTTTTGATGCATTAAAAGACGGTTTTCAACACCACCATTACTTTAGCTACTAACTTATTTTTCTTAACAAAATGTTTTAGTTGATTTTTTTTTAGTTCAAAATTATTTCCTGAAAGTCAAATCTTCAAAACATTATCCCAGTTTCTGTATACTGCACAAGTATAACAGTGCAATAGTTTTCATAAACTAACTTATTCTCAGTCCCCACACACAGAGCACAGTCTATTTAGTAATTAATTATTTATGATTAATAAGCTGTTTTGTGTGTTTCAGGGAATTAAATACAGTCCTGACTATCCAACCTTGTGGTTATTTGGCCATTTTGTAATCTGACCCTGCCTGTGGATGATCAAGTACTGTCGCTAATAACTTCATTTTTGTTGTAGAGCGATGTCATCGTACTCCATGACAATTTCCCAGGAGAGAGCTATGCCTACTTGATTGCTGTATTCACTGGGTCTCGTCTAACAGCAGGAACTTCTGCTGTCGTTGGCCTTCGTCTTTATGGAGACACCTACGCCACTCGGGTAAGCAAAGTTTTGTGCGCACCTATTTATGAAATCAGCTTTAAAACGGGGGCTTAAAGGTTTTTTCTCCCTAGAGAGTAAAAATGCTTCTTATGACCCACAACTCATGTATTAAAAACGGCTGTTTTTGCTGCAGTATGGCAAAAAATATGTTATACGACATAATGCTAATATTGAGTGGCTAGAGTGCAAGTTGGTCTAGAGGTGCTTTAGTTCTGATTATTGGGCTTTTTATAAATGGTCCTGACTATCATGTCTTATGTCATCTATGAGAGACGGGCCAAAGCCTCAACGTGCTTCATTTGAATTTGTTTAATCATCGCGTACCCCAATGTTGAGATATTCAGAGACCTCCAATGTCCAGGCACCTAATGCCTGCATTGCACTGATCAGTTCCTCCTCAGGAAGGTGACTCCCTCTTACCAGATTTCCAAGATTTGTCCTTCTTACCTCTGAGATCTCCTCAATGTGAAAGATCAGGTGAAAACAGTTTCCTCTGACCTCCCACACTTCACACAGACCAATTTGAGGCAAATGCTCTTTGACAAGCCTAGGTCAAGTAATCAGCTCCATAGTTTTTCTTTCTGTTGTCTATCTAATTTTTGTCCAATTCTTCCCCTAATCAACCTCAGGGAATCTGAGGCAATCCCTTGAGAGGAGTGTGCTTACTTACTCTAAAAAGGATTGCTTCAGCCCTTCTCCTACAATGTTTTTTAGTGGCCCATGACACGATGGAGGTGCACACAGATGCCTCAGAAGGGTAGAGAACCGATCATAGTTGTCGCAAAAGCATTTGCTAGCCAGTTAGCAGCAATGTTACTGAGTGACCAAGCACCCACAATAATGGATTTAGTATTTTGGCGTCCCTAGGCCCCATAATTTTTCGCCCCTTGTCCTGTCATTACTTTCTTACGTACCTTTGATAAAAACTATATCAGGCCTATATGTTAATTGCTTAAACACTACTCCACAATGGAATTGTACCATTGCAAGTTTTTTAAAGAATTTACTTGGTTCTGGCCTTAAGGAAATGCTGTCTTAGCACTTACCCTTTTAGCAATTTTATGTATTAAATGGAGTGCTCACGTTTATGGGACTGAATCAAAACGATCCAACCAAAACCAGCAAAACATTCCTGCAACAAAGCATGGCCTTTACAGGTGCCGTAGTGCTTCAAAAATTATTCCCAAAAACATGAACTCCGTACAGTAAAAGATACCATAGGTAAAAAACATCCCCTTATGGTAGATTTGTTATCCGGGCTAAGGCAATTTTCCCCATTCTGCTCTCATATTTGACTTAAGTTACACCCTGTTGGGTTTCTGTCCCAATTGATAATTATAATACCGATAACAACTGTTGCAGCCAACCGTCCTGAAGTGTGAGACCAGGAGAGTTCTACAAAGAGACAATGATGACTGGTTTCTATTGTGCTATCCTGTATCCTTAGGTATGCTCAATGCTGTGCAACTCTGGCATGACAACTCTGGGAGGAACCCCGACTGGTAAGACAATTGGCTCTTTAAATCGGTAAAATTAAATGCTCCCTTATGGCTAACCAGCAGAATATTGACAGAAGCCGTGGTCTAAAACTAGATAATCTTAACTCCTCCGATTTCAGTTTTATATCATAGATAAAACATACTCCCATAGTAGAATTTTCATCCTTATGGAACAGCTGAAGCCAATTTTATTGTTAGTTCTGTACGGTGCACTGTAGACGTTGTGTGACTTGGCCTATTGTAAATAATACTGAACGGCTTGGTAAATCTTGAATCGTGTGTTTTGTTTACAATTTGATTCTTGTTATTTCAGTCATTTTAATTCTCGTTTAACGAAATAATACAATCTAATCATAAACAATAACTCGCCCGCTCTATAGCTATATAACCAAACAGTAAAGCTCAAATCATGGAATTAGCCATAAAAAATTGGCCTTATAATAATAGAAACAAAATTTTGTCGACACTAGCGCCTAGTGTCGCCTTACATGAACTAGACACAAAAAACAAGCTTCAAAATTTACAATTGAACAATCTATGTTTTGGTTTCTTGGAAACAAAAAAGCACAGATCATATGATTTACCATAACGACTATGTTTGCTTATAATTGCTATTCCCTATTGGGAAATTACTTAATGTAATGCATACTACATTAACAAATGGTTTTTAGTGAGGGTATTTACTTAATACAGTGAAAGTTACTGAGGGGCCTATCCTGTTTGTGGTTTGTTATCCGACAGCTGAGGATGGGCTCTGATCCACTGGGTTTTTGCATTATCAGATACTGAAATCAATTGTTGATTGGTGTGACTCAAGCACTGGCCCTCAGATTGAAAGTTCTTGCCCTAACCACTCATACAGAATGTCTTCTTAGAGTTTTATTTACAGTTAAAGCTAATACCAAGCATTTACCCTAAAATAATCACTTTTATCCACTTCAAAAAAGTTTAACTTATGAATTCATGCAATGTATTCTAGGTACTGCTCAAAGATTATAGTGTACGACCTCCAGGCCACGACCCAGTACCTGTTTGTGATGGACCAGTGGCTGGCATTGGAGGTAGACGAGTTTCCGGAAGCGATGGTTCGACCGGCAACCACGGACGAGGTGTTGAGCATCAAGCGGATTTTTCTGGACAACTCTGTTCTCGGCTTTAGGGAAAATCATTTGCACCTGAGCATCCTGGCTAGGTAATGACTATTTAAAACTTGTTTGTCTCAGTAAATACTGTAAGTAATAAATGTTATTCTAACATAGTGTAATATTAGCAAAACTATTACAATGATGAGTGTTGTTGAATTAGTAGTGTGTTTGATTTGTACGTGTAGAATCATTAAGGCATTGTCATTCAAACATATTTGTACCGTGAAAAACTTATACTGTATACTGAAAACAAGAGTTGTGAAATAAAAATGACTGAAAAGAAAATGTAAAAAAATGTTCAACCCAGGTTCAAGAATTTGAGTGATCTTAAATTTGCCACATTTTTATTGTAGCCTGTTTTGCCTGTGTCTGTCATTAATAATTTTAATTTTGAAATCCATGTGCTTTATTCATAATCTAGTTCAACTGCGTTTACACTTGTCTGGTTTTCAGACATCCGAGGAGCCCTGTCTCTAGAAAACAACGTTTGATGGTCCTGATGGTTTTGATAATGTCAGCCATGTTGGCTAGCATTATGTTCTTCAAAGTTACGGATAAATTTGGTATTACTGCAGTTATTTAATGTGGTTACAATTTATTACTAAGTTAATTTTAATAGTTTGTTCCATAAAAGATAAAAGACAAGCACAAATCGTATAGTTACATATATCCTAAAATCTATACCTGTAATGATAAAAAACATGGCTGAAACACCTGAACAACGGTGATAATGTGTGGGTGATAGTCCTCATTTTTGGTTTGATCTTTATTTTATTTGTATAAAATGTTTGAGTTGTTAAAAAATAAATTATGATTGAAGTCGAAATTTAAGATAGACAACGCAAAGTAAGCATTTAAAAAAATGTAATGTAAATCTGTTATACTACAGACAATAAACCATCCCTTGAACTAAACCAAGCGCAACTGCCGATAGAGGTCTATAATTGGTTCCTTAGTCTATGGTTATAAGCTAAGATTAAAACAAACCAAAAATATTTATACAGATTAAGGTCAAGTATTTACTTAATTGCTAAACAAACAATCTTGTTTGTTTAAAAAAAAAAATAATGTGAATTAAGAATTGTTGAGCCTTATGTTTGTGTTGTTGTTGTTGTTTTTGGAAGAGACCAGTAGAAAAAGTCTCATAAAAACATCCACTGTTTATTTTGATTGTAGTTTTCTATTTTTTTCAAATACATTTGAAAATAGTTCAAAAATAGTTTCTGAAAATGATTTGTGTCTTAAACCAATGAAACAACCAATCGTAATTGCTGTGTTGAATTGTTTTTTAGCTGAAAACGTTGATGAGTACCACTACAGCTTTGGTCAAAGAGAGCTCATGATAAGTATTCAATCTTTTGTGATCTCCACAGTCTTTGCCTTTATTGCAATGTTTCTTTTTAGGTAAGTATTTCCACAAAGTAGACTAAATCTTACTCTCTTAAAATAATATAATCCCAAACTAAAAGCAAGTTTAAACAAATTAAGAATCGTAGCCAGGGGGGGCGGATGTAGATTGATGATTGAAAGGATAAGTGATATTGGTAATTGTTAGGTAACTGTGTTGCGTTGCAATAAACTTATAATAAAAAATAAACTAAAGAGCTTTAAGTGGACTGTAATTGTGTATATTTAGAAAAAGAATGAATATAACAGATGTTAAATTAAATCATTCCAATACATATGTAATAGAGGAAACAAGCAATATGAGAACATGGCAAAGAGTATCAAACAGTAATAATGCGATATATATATTCATTACAAATTGGTTTAAATATATAGTTGTCTGACTGTTGTGCTAGAGCCTGGAGGACCCTAGCATGTTGGAATTAGGAGCGTGCTATCTTCTGCTACCTTCATAAAATGACAATTTAATTAGAAACTCTGTTTGGGGACCAGAGGGCGGAGATCTTTACTCAGACCAGAAGCAGGCCAAGCCAGCTTGATTAGGCCTACTACAAAGGATGAAACTAACAAATTTAACTAGAACATTGAAATAAACCTACCCTTCAAAAAAAAATTATTAAATATACTGACAAGTCCGCTATATTGCAAGACGATAATAACAGGGGTCTGTTGCGTTTATTAACACCTAACTGAAGATATCTGGACTCTAAATCATTTCCTGAATGATTTATTACTGAGGTTTCAATTTGGTGACTATTGCATGTCTAGGAAGAATTACCTCGTTAAATGAGGTAGTCATAATTTTGGAATTTACATTTCTGGGAATGGGGCGAAAACTTTAAATTGTTAATCTAGCCTGTCATTCTTAATTTTACAACTACTTCATATGTAAGACTTATCCTGATATGTAAGAGAGCCATGACGTTGCTACTTGTACGAATACCGGTGAGAGACAAGACGGAGGAATTCTCTATTCACTAGCTCCTCGACTGTTTCTAAGAAAAAAGCAAGCGTCAGACCGAAAGTCGCACGCTGATAGGAAAGGCCGGCGATTTTGTTGTGTGGCACTATATAAAATAAAGCATCACAGAATGTGTAATACTTACTTTACTTGTATATATTATTTTCTGCTGTTGAAAAATTAGGTTGTTAACTCAACTTGTTATTCTAAAATCCGTGCCTAGTGAAAGCCAAAGCAAACATAAAGTCAATATATCAAATTGAATCAGATCAATATTAAATTCTGGTGATGACATTTATCAGGACTCTGACATATTCAGAATCATAATCTATTTATTATTATAGACAACGTCAAAGAACACAAGAAATACAATAACATGCTGAATAAAAGGAAAAGTCCTAACTCGTCATCTGGATCCAGAGATACTCCATATCCTCTCAGTCAATTTGTCTTTGTGCGTTTTTCATTTTGTGTCCGTGTGTGTGCCAATGGTTGTATAAGGAAAAAATATTTTAATGCATTTAGTTTAAGTAAATACGAATTTGAGTGACATCTGAATATGGCATGGATTGGCGGGTATTGATTGGCAGGTTTCTTAAGGGAAGCCTGGAAACACAGATGGGCACTAGTAGAAGAGTTTGATTTTTAAATTTACAATTCTCCTATTTTTGAAGTGCCAATGCAACTTGTAATCTGCTTTTCTTAAAAATCGAACTATTTGCTTTTCTTTTATTTTCATTCAATAAGTTGAGCTGTATTGTTTTATTGATTTAATTAAAAAATTAAACTGTATTTGTTGTTCTAGTAGCTTTTTGTTATTTTTCTCAGTTTTTATCGTGATATGGCCCTTCTGGGCAATGCCTAGAAGTGTTTTGTTAAGCATATGCCCTGCTGGTATCTGTGAATGTAAAAACAAAAGCAACAATAAGGCACTTATTCATTCATTCATATAAAAGGAAAAGTACAATGTATACTTGTCAGACGAACAGATAAAAGAGAATAAAACATAACAAATAAATTAGCAACAATTAATTAAAACTATGAAAATTGATAACTACAGTAGACTCCCTCTTATCCGGACACCTTTTAACTGGACATCGGTTTAACCGGACTACACTCGGCTGAAATGACATCTCTTTAACTGGAAGATTTTTATCAGCACATCGGTTTAACCGGACTAGATCGGCAGGAAGTGGGCAGTACTGAAACGACTGTTCTCGTGGGAAAGATTTGAGACCAGTGATCACGTGTCTAAATACAATGCTATCCTAAATTGAAGTCAAATACTGTATACAGTATGTATTTAAACGGTCCGTTCAAACGACTTTTTGGGGACGTCGGTTTAACCAGAAAAACCAATATCCGGACTGGCTTCGGTTCCGAGGAGTCCGGATAAGAGTAATCACCAAAGGGTCACTGGATCAAAGCTCTTAAAGATAAAGTTAAACATTATATGCAAAAAAATCTAATTTGTTGTCTAACTAACACTTAATTAATTGGCAATATATATTTAAATTATATTTTTTCAGGAAAGGATATAAGCAAAGAGACTATCAAAACAACAAACGTAGTACATTGTATATGCCAAGGAAACGATCGTCAATAACGGACAAGTATTGGTTTTCTGATAAACCAGCGTTTGTGGACTTGTCTACTTTCATAGCATACGATGAGAAGCCACCAAAACAACGCAAAGGTATGTAATATTATTTATAATATTTGTTAAAAATGGGTTTATAATTGTTATTGAATTTATATTTATTCATATGGTACACATTGGTGAGGAGCAAGCTGGTTTAGTGGTAGAGAATGGTTAGAGTTTTTTCTGGGTTCAAATCCTACCAACCGCCAATGGATTTGATCCAAGTGATAATGTTTCAACCCTCTAGGCCAAGCCTGAAATAACGCCTGAAATGGTTTCGGCTAGCTAGGATGGGAAGGCATAAAAATAGAAAATAGCCTGTGTCATTGAGTCAACTATGGGGATGGGGGATGATGAATTTTAAATTTATTAAAAGATTTATTGTTTTATTCAAAAGCTTTTTCTTTTGTGGAATTGCCAATAATCTCGGTGTATGCCATATTGTTAGGTAGTGTGTTTCCTATTTTAAGTATCAAAAAACACTCCTCAATTAATTAATAAGGAAGAAAACTATAACAAATGTTTTGGAAAACCTCCCTGATTACATCTACGTTCCCCCAAAATAAAATTGGTGTGTATACCACTGGTGAAAACAATAATTTGTTGCTGAAGTAAAATTAATTTCTGCTGCTTTTGTTATTGTTAGCTTAAATCTTGGAATTATTATCAAAATTATTGTCAAACTCACAATATGTGTGATTCAAATCTGTCCATATAACTTGTTGTATTTTATTTTTTTCTTCAAACATGCTTACAACTTCAGATTATAGTGTTTTGGAAGCAATATTTATTTTACAAACCTTAACCCTTTGAGTCAAATTTTTTCATGTTTTCGGCGAGTATAGGTCCTCATTTGAGCAGTAAAGATCGCCATTGGACCATAAAGATAAACTTTTTTGATTTTTTTGTCGCCATTTTTGAGCAGTCAGGAAAATGGCGGGCGGCAACCTATACTCGCCATTAAAACAAAATCTAAAATAAAAATAGTTGACCTTTGCGTTTGAACGGTGAGTATAGGTCGCCGCCGCCATTTTCTCTTCTCCTCGAATGGTCACATACTCACCAAAAAAGAAAAAAAATTCAACCTCAAAGGGTTAACGGGTTGATTCATTTCTAAAAAAAAAATAGCATAAGAGAATATTTTATATTTTTATTGCCACATTGATCCTGTTTTCCACCAGATATGACTATGTATGAATCATTCATCGCAGCCATCAGAAACTGTACTCATCACAAGACTCTTCGCCCTGTTCATTTAGCTACTGAAGGCTCGGAAATAAAAGTGAACAAAGGATGGTTGATAGCGGCATGGTTAGTTATTTATGTTTTTTTACTTGGATACTGCAAGTAGAATTTTTTATATTCAAACCAGAAGCTTGGTTTTATGTTAATTTGGTTAAAATAGAAGGCATCATTCTTCACTAAATGTTTGTCTCTTATTTTTGTATAACTAAAAACAAGCATTAGATTTTAAATAGATATATTAAATCGTAATGAATAGATAGCGAAATAACAAAAAATAAATATAAGACAACACACTCTATTTTTACCTCATAAAACACCTTAAAATTTGTCATCAGTTGATATATTAAGGATGATTTTATTTAAAATCCATGGCTTTTCGGTGCCCTAATGTCTACAAATTCTGGTTTCAGTCCGGTCAGTGTTTTTTTAGCTTGATAACTCGAGAAAGAAAAAATCCGATTTTTATGAAATTTGGTACTAACGTGTAAACCTACAATTCTAATGTGTTCGCAAACAAGCATGATTGGACTATAAGGGGAAAAAATTATTATTTTAGGGGGAAAATTTGGTTTTTCTTATTTTTAACCATAAAAACATAAAATTTAGCAACTTCTTTCCAAACCATTTGTTTGTATAGCTTATAAAAAAAAAAATTATATTGAAGCATTATTATGCGCCTAATGGCCACGGGGAAAATTCCAAAAAAATTTGTAATTTAATATTTCAACTTTATCTTATAGAAAAAATTGTAAACTGTTAAAATTTGCTTTTTTATGAGCATATTTTCATCAAATTTGCAAGCATTCAAATGCAAAAAAAATTCATTTCATACTAAACTATTAACATTTTACAAAAAAAAACACCTACCCTCCCTGTTGCAGCAAATCTAAGTACTCGTTAAACTAAAGCTATTTAAATAGGGAATAAATGTGGTACTTTTTAGGAGATATTTTAGAGTAAATTCAATCAGGCAAATTGAAATTCGCTTAGTCTTCAGGATTGCTGTGGTGGGGGTATTTTGTTTTTTAAATCAGTTTCATTACAAAGATATTTTAACAAGCAGGGAGTTAACTAATCTTCCCTCCCCAATATACAGTGTATTTCTTCATTCATTCACTCAATAAAAGGATATCTTTAGGTAAACACCTAATCAACTAATATTCGGTAATTTCTTTCAGGGTATTTTCAATTCTAGTGATTATTATATGTGCATATCTTGTTATGCTATACAGTCTTAAGTTTGGGAAAGTAAAAAGCTTAAAATGGTTAAGCAGCCTGGTGGCAGCACAAGCTCAAGATATTTTCATCTTTTCTCCGCTGAAAATACTGATACTTGCCTTATTATTATCAGCTGCATTTGAGGTGAGAGGATTTGTATGTTTGACAGTGACATTAGATTTATTTCTATATTGTGTAAGACTATGGTTCGAAAACGGTCATGGTACCATTTAATTAATTAGGCGTGCAAATTGTGTACAAGTTTAACGAATGTAATTTAAATATTAATGACAGGCCTCATTTTTAATCTAATAATTTATTTGTGTTAATCAAAACAAGGGTTGATTGATACATTGAATTTTACTTTTTAAAGGAAATAATCCATGAAGCATGTTTTAAAGTAGAAGCATATTTAAGGGTAAAATCACAGTTTAAAGAATTTTTTTATTTGTAAATAGTTTTACTTCACATTACTATAAAATATTGTTTAGCATACCTAATTCTACTGCCTTCTTGGTAGTTTGTTGTTGTACACTTTACCCTTTTAGCCTAAGTGTGCAGCAGGTTTTCAAATGAAGTATGTCTGTAAACCAAGTGAGATGAAATAAATTACTAGTGAAATCTGTGAACCAAGAACAAATTTTGACTAATATTTTATTGTTTTCTTCTTTAGAGAACAACTGACATTTCTGCGTTCAAACTTGATGTCAACAAGGCAGTTAAATGTGACCTCGTTGGAGATAAAAAATACTTGGATAATTTAATAGAGTACCGAACAAAGAGTATATACTACCCCATGACAGATGAAGTTAAAGCTGTAAGTAGATGGTGTTTAAAAAAAATTCAATAATTTTATTTTAAATTACCATATATACAGGTAAGCACCATTAATTAAAATCAAACATAACTTAAATTGTTTGGTACAAAATATGAAAAGATTATAATACAGTACATTAGTGTAAAGAAAAATACAATTGAAGCAACTTAATGCATACCGGTAGTATCTTCTGGGGTTTAATTTTAGAATATGTAATTGTCAACTGAATCTTCTCCTTGAAATCACTATTGATTTGTTTCCTTTAACACCTATCATCTTTATGTGAGCTCTTTGGGGAACATTAGGATATGAACAACCCCTCAATGGTACTAATATTTAGAACCAAAAATACAGGGACAGAAATCCTGAATTTTTACCGTGAAAGTAAAAGCTTGGATCAAGTTAGTAAAAGCATACAGCCTAGTTACGTATGTTTTGTTTCGGAAGCTGTAAAAAATTTAATGCAAATGAACCCAAGACAATTAATTTTTTTAGAAAAAAAGAAGAAAGACCATGAGGAAAATGAAGTGGAGAATCATTTTAGATTTTCTCGCCGTGCTGACGTTTATATTGATTCTGTGCTACATTATGAAAATTCTGTGGAGCGGAGCGCACTTCCATCCTAACTCTCATGCTGCTGAGATGATGATGACCAAATATAACGGCCGATTTGTCGCACTGCAGGATGTTTACAATCGGACACAGTAAGTAAAATGGTGTTAGTTGAAAATTACGGGAAATTTTCACTCAAGTTTCTTTCATTGTTGATTTGAAATCCTGTGTTTTGTGTGTTATTTTATGTATATTTAATCTATGATGATCCATATTCATTCAGATGCTAAAATATCTTGGAGTTTGGAGGTGCATCAGTTTTTTTTTTTTTTTTTTTTTAACTAACATTTTTATTTAGGAAAACTAATAAATAATGAAAATTAAGGGATAAAAGTAAATCTATGATATGATCCAACTCTTTCAATAATATAAAAAAAAAATTATTTAATTGTTAATACGACCTTACGGCCAATAATTTACATTTTAATTGTATGTCCACAAATAGCACTTTTAGGAAAAAGAGTAGGTCTTAAACTGTTTAGGTGCTTCCGTGGAAATTTATCGATCTTGAACTGTTTTTATTTCTGTAACGAGCAGTTTACAACAAACTCCCCAACTCCTTTGACGGGTATATGTAAGGCTGAATTTTTGCCTGCTTTCTTTTTCCAGTAAATGTTCAAAATAGTGTGTTTCGGTCATTTCCACGGACATACCCCCTCCCCATGAAGGGCAAAACACTGTTTTGTTTTAAGAGGGTATTAATTAAAATACTTTAGGGCTTAATACATTATTTTTTTTACAGATTCTTTACCTACCTACAGAACACTTTTGTGCGGTCCTTGTTTGTTTTTAGATGGTTTAATGATTTAAATTTCCAAACACTAAGTCCTTCAGGTATAGTGCACAATTTTTTTTATTCATGTTTATTAATTTTGACGTAAGTGTTTCAACTGAGAAAGTCTATGAGCTCTTTTTGGTTAAACATTGAATTACATTTGTTTTACGATAGAATACAAATTGTATTCCTTTATTCAATCCTTTTTTCACAATGAATACAAGTTGAACTGTATTTTATTGTACAAGAAAATGAAACACACATAGAAGGTTATTTTTTCACAAGTTCTCCTACCACAAAATACACTTTGTTAAAATAAATAGTATAAGCAGACAAAATAATCTTATTAGCTCCCAAAAAGCTTTTTTGCTTTGCACTTCATTGTTATTGTTAGGTAAACGTGTTTTCCTTAAAATGAAACATAATAAATATTTAAAATCCTTGGGTGCTGCATCAAAATAATCTACTCCTAGAAATGAAGTGAACAAACTCTTGATGGAAACCTTAAAGAAAACGAAAACATACATGCTGTTCTTCATATGACTGTTATTATAAATGCATTAGTCAGTGTTAACTGTCAAAAGCTTAATGGAAACTGTCATTGTCTCATTCATTGAACAGAACACTTGTATGGATAATAAAACAAACTAAATTTCACTTTATTTGATGTTATGTACTACAGACGCTCCTGAAAGAAAAGACTGGACAAAGGATTTTGTATCCAAAATGGTGGGAGCGCCTCGACTGAGGCAGTTAAGAATTGTTGCCAGTAAGTTAAATTATATTGCTTGGTTGCTAGATAATTTATTTAACTGTCCCATAACAAAAATAATAAAAAGTATTCACTGTAATTTTCAGATTGTATCTCAACTTAGATAAGCAGCTGAGTTATTGGTATTTCAAAATTGGATCAGTTAGGGAATCATCGCACACTTGTGCCAAGAATATATTTTTTTTAAAAGCTTCTTTAAAAACTGTACTTAACAGAAAGCAAATCGAGTGGTTGTATTTTTTAGAGTAGAGAAATCGTTTACTGTATGTCTCTCTTAGTTTCAGATTCAGTCACATGAAACGGAAGCCAGCCCCAACTTGGATTTCTAGGAGATACACCATTGATTATAGGTTTGAGAAAGCCCAAACCTTGTACCAACTGCAAGCTACCTACTTCTGATATTGGCCATTACATGTTTCTGCTGATAGAAGTGTGTAGCTTTTTGATGGTTTGAAACTAGACCCAGCTGTCCCAGATCATTGGGCTTTCAATAAATTATCCTGACTAATGAAACATCTGGTCTTAGTCAGTAACAAAGCTACACAAGCCATCTTACTCCATTCTACACTCATCCTTCGTTCATATTTGTTTTAAAATACACACCTAGGTGGAGTCCGATCTCAAATGATTATGATGAGCATATCCTAGACGTTTCTTAGGTCGTATTGACACTCCAATAGCAGACGATTAGTTTGCAACAGTGGTTACCATGACTTGAGTCGACATTTAACTGCAATGTTTGATGTAATTCTTTGCATCATTGTTGAGTTAATTTACAAAAATATTGACTCTAGTTGAATTGTCTGCCAGGTTCCTGCGCAGTACATCACGTTATGGTAGTCGCTGTGCAGGATTGCATCCGACCGTGGAGTGAGGGCTACATGGACACTGACACTTACGGTGTCCAATGGAAGAAGGCGGACTTTGACGACGAGATTGCGTATGCTTGGGGTTACCGGACCTACTGGATGTATCAGGAGCCCAAGAACACCTCTGTGTTTCCATTATCTGGTATGGTCACTTTGACGTTTGCTAACCTAACCGATAAAAGCTAGGCCTACAATTTTTCAAATTTGAAATTTGTTTAAAGTAGTTTGTATTACTGAAAGGAAATTTTGGAAGGCTTGTGTCAAAGAATCAATCCATGGCTGTACAGACTGTACAGTTTTCACGTTGTATATTCGCTTATTCCTTGGCTGAGTGTCAATTTGATTTGTAATGAAATAGATTACCTACATCTTTTATATGACTTTAAATACTACTCTAGGTTGAAACTGGCGAGTCTAGTACTTGTCAGTAAATAATTATGAGGATAGAAAGAACTATGGTTCAAGCACAGTGATGTGTCAAAATAGTGGTTAATGTTTTAGTCAGTTTTTTGGTATAGGTAGTTCTTGAAACTGTTAACAGTAAAAAAACGTTTTCTAAGAATGGGAATGAGATTCATTATCACAAATATAATCACGCGCATACTTACATATCAAGTGGATTATGTCATGGGTTGGTCATATTTCGATTTAACAGCATCATACCACAATGATTAGCACATCCGTTTGGTTGCCACTACCTTGATTGAAAAAATTCTATAATCCTTCAAATGTGATTTCAAAATTCAATTTTATTTTTGTATACGTATGTTTTCCAGTGAAAAATGTTTGTTTGGTTGAAAAATGCACACTTTTGTTGAGTCAATTTACATTTACTGGACAAAATGCTGTAGTTTTACAAATTATAAACAAAATCCAAGAACTTCTTAAGATTACTTAGTAGTTTAAAATTATTTCACAATTAAATCAAAGCTTTTGAGTATCATATTTAAACTGTTCATTATCTACGTTGCCTATATCTTCACACATACAATTCCAATACTTTGAGAGTTGCTGACTTAAAAAAATATATTTAATAATAAATAATAAATATTTTTATAGGGAAATCGGGAGTTGTCTATCCCTCCGGAGGGTACATTCTACCTCTTGCCGTCAAGAGAGATCAGAGCAAATCGTACGCAATCCAAGTGGAGCAGGAACATTGGGTCGATCATCGTACAAGAGCCGTGTTTCTTGAGCTGACGCTGTACAATGTAAACAACAACTTGTTCAGTCAAGTTACGGCGATCATAGAACACATGACCTCTGGGCTCTTCATGACGCTTGCGAACGTAAGTGACAGTGTAATATTTTTTAGCTGTAGCCTGAAATGGTTTTTTTACATTACTTCAGGCTGGACCTAGAGGTTGCGGCATTTTTTACTTAGATAATATCCATTGATGACTGATGGGATTTGAACCTGGGAACTCGGGGACCGAAGTCTCGAACTCTTCCACTTGACCAGCTTGCTCACACAGTGGAATATTAAGAATGTTTTGTGTTTTCACGCCAATGATATTCATAAAATTTTTGTAATAGAACTGTAAAAACTCTGATTGTTTTACTACCTACTTTACTTGAATTTAGTTAGATATCATCATTGATTAGCCAATGAGGCATCAGAAACCAGAATTGACTACACTTAGGATCGAACCAACAACCTTTAGATTTAAAGGCGAGTATTAACCACTTGGGTACTCAGACGATTCTAAGACAGATTAATGTGATGCTTGGTTATCAAAAGGAGTGAAAAGAAAACAATTGCGGGTAAAAAATTTAAATAGATATATCACTAGTAGTGTTACCGATGCTTTGTAATGGATGATGGACCTAGATTCAAGAGCCATTCAAAGCTATTGTTCAAAACAGCTACCCTATCACCTCTGATTATAGAACAATGTATATTCTCTATTACCATAATTCCGTTCAAATTTTGGAAAACATAGGTTTTACAAATTTATATTTTGTTTCATTATGAAAGTTTACCATCATTAGGCTATTTGCACACACACCGGATTTTTACCGGCGAAACAATCAGTTAATTTGTTGTTCAAGGACAAGACCAGATTTTTACTAATTACCCAATTAATTATTAATTATTTAATTTAATTTATTAATTTAGGCCTAATTTATTAATTTATTTAGTAATTAGATTATACTAATGAATCCTAAAAGAGTTGTTGCTATGTGGCTATTGTATCGACGTATTAAACGCCATAGGATTTAACCATTGACTATTTTATTGTACTATGTATAATCATGACTATATTGTACGTTCTGGATTCATCCAATTAACCAAAGCAGAGAAAAAACCGGAACACTCCAGACTCCACACACTTTTTGAAGAACTAAGGCTTGATAGCAGTAAAATTTTCAACTATTTCAGAATGTCAATAGCATCCTTATTTATAAAGTCACCCATTTTAAACATTATAAAAACGCACTACCAAAACTAATTAAAATTTTCAGAAGAGCAGTCGCCTTAAATGGAGGATGGTGTAGCAAGAACTGCCGATACGATTGGTAAAAAATCAGTGCGCGTGCAAGCTTGTCCGCCATAACTGTCCATAACAACCAAACTTCTTCTCCCTAGAGTGGATGTGCTGCACATACACACCCACGGATAGGATGGGGTTGTGGCTTCAAGTGGTTGATCGGTCGAATTTACCGTTTGTTATTGGTTTTATCTAATTAATAGATAGGCTGATTACTGATTAATAGATTGACTGATAAGATATGGTACTAAACCTATTTAAAAGATGCTAGATTGATTGTTTTTTTCTGTTAAAACTACCAAAAAGACGATGAGTTTCCCTTTATTCCTAACATGCCTACTGTAATAATGTACCGTATAGTATTATTATCTCAAGTATAATCAAAATAACTCTAGTTTAACCTAGGGCCATGTTTAAGTGAAATCAGTCTCTTATACCTTTGTCTACCTTAAAGAAGTTTTAGCTGCAAAAAGAAATTTGTCTTATTAGTGATTGATTGTCTGATTGATGATTGAAATAACCGGATTTCTGTGAGTATAGTTTGGGTTTATTCCTATTTTAGATTTGAATGATGATAATAAAAAGAAATAATCTGCTGAACAAAATACTAATATCCTTTAGGAAGAAGCATCCTTAAACTTAACCATTCTAAAATCTTAAACTAAACTATAAAATGAATAAAGGAATACTCTATATTTCAAATAATTACAACACTTCATTTATACACTACTTTATTGAAGAAATACTATACAATTGTTTTACTGCATCCTGCTGCCCAATTAATTGAACACCTGTTCTGAAAATACCAAAATTCCTCTTCACTGTCACTATACAAAGAGTCCCAATAACATTCTTCTAATGTAGCTGAAGCTTCCAAGTCACTCATTATTTTCTTAGTCATACATAGCAGCCCAAATTAGGTATTGATATTTCACATGTACAACATAAAATAAAGAATGTTGGTTGTATTCAATGTTTACAAAACTACCTTCATAGTGGAAATGGTAGAGAAGTCGTTACAGATTTTCTAACAGAAAAAGATAAATCATTAGTTTGTTGTAGTAAGCATAGTAAAAATAATCAATTTAGTTTTGAAGATTTTGATGAATGTGATAGTGATTTTGAAGGATCAACAAACAATGGAATTGTCATCACTAATGCTTACTTGATTGAGTTGTTTTTGAAAAATAAATGCTTTACCGAATCAACAGCAAAGATTTTGTTAACTGCTGAACCTAATGGACAAGAATTTTTGTTTAAAAAGTTTTCAAATGATAGAATCAAAATCGCTATTCAAACCAGTAAGATGATATCATTTGGGGAAACATCATTCCAGAGGTTACAAAGAGCCAAGCAATATTACGAAAAAATATCCAATGACATTAATTTTTCAGAGCAAATGGCCAAATTAACAAAATGGTTAGAAATGAATTCTATTGATGTTCATGAATTCGCTAACATAACCTACGACCATTTTCACAAAAAATCTGGTAAGAAAAATAATTTATTTTTTAAAGGACCACCGTCTACTGGTAAAAGCATGATCATTGAAAGCTTAATAAGTTGTCATTTCAATTATACCCAGTTGACAGGAATAAATGAAAATTCATCCTTCAATTTCTCCTCATTAGTACATTCTAATGCTTGTTTAATGGATGAAATAAAATTAACAGAGCCTTTATTTGAAGTATGGAAACTTCTAGCTGCAGGTCAGAACTTCTTAACTGATGTAAAATATCAAGAGAAGTGTGAGATTACAAATTGTGTATTATATACAGCTTCTAACTATGATATCGAATTATACTGCAAGGTTCCTTCAGCAAAAAGTGCTATAAAAGCTAGAACCTACACTTACTATATTAAACAGCCATGTTCTGAATACTTTAATGTTGCTCCCCATACTTGGGAAATGTTTTGGAATACATATAAATAGTACTGTATAACAACTTATCATATTGTAAATTCCTACAAATAAATAAAAATATTGATCCCTATTTTAATGTGTTATCTATTTCCTTTGTATTTGAATGACAACTAGTTTTTTAATTCTATCTTAGAGACTATGGTTTTATGACATATGCTCAAGAGTATTGACTATACAAGTATTTGTTATTCCTTTAGGTTATTATCACATATTAAAAGTTATACTTGTAGCTAAGATGTCTTTGACACAAACCAGGACAAAAGAACCTGATTACATGCCTAAATGGATCAATTAACAATCTAAATGAACTAGGGCAACAGATATCACTTATCAGTTAATCAATCAATCGATACAACCAATAATAAACTAATCAGATAAAACCAATAATAAACGGTAAATTCGACCGATCAACCACCTAAGGCCACAACCCCATCCTATCCGTGGGTGTGTATGTGCAGCACATCCACTCTAGGGGGAATCAATTACATGCAATAACAGTCCTGTACTAGCTGATGCCAGATAACAGAGAAAACTCTTGAATCATGAAAGAGCGCTAGGGCAACAGTTATCACTAATCAGTTAATCAATCAATCGATAAAACCAATAATAAACTAATCAATCAAATAAAACCAATAATAAACGGTAAATTCGACCGATCAACCACCTAAGGCCACAACCCCATCCTATCCGTGGGTGTGTATGTGCAGCACATCCACTCTAGGGAGAAGAGGTTTGTTTCATTTGTTTCGTTTAGATTGGTTGATTAATTATTAATCGATTGATTGGTTTTTTATTTTTTTGTGATTTTTTAGCGATTTTTTAGCGATTTTTTATGGATTTATAGGCTTATTTGCTTGATATAATGGCTGTAATTCCACTTTCAGTGCTAATATGAGCTTATTTCCTTGATACTAGGCCTTTAATGGGTAATTTTATTATATTCTACAGTCTAATTCGTCAATAAGTGATTATGAAATTGGTTAAAATGACTAGAAAGTCAAGATTAGGCTATGAGTCTTACGTTTTGAATCGTTTTACTTGCCGATTTGCAACCACTGGTAATACTTGAATTTACGATAAAATGTTCATTTAAATTACTTAGACTTCACTACATACCATGTAATAGGTGCTTAAGCAGTGAAATATACAAAAATAAAGTCATAATTTACTTTTATAGAGAAATAAATAAAGGAATAAGCCTGTAGTGTTTTTTGAACTGTCTTTGTCATAATCGATTTTTTCCATTTTCTGGCTAAACTATACAGTTATAAGCTCTCCAAATGTGGTTTTCAAATCATTTACTAGTATAGTTTAACTAATTTAATGTTAAAATCCCTTAAAAAATCATAAATAACACTATAATTTGCAATATTATGACATTTATCGTCTTTTAAACTCGTGGTGAAAACGCCATTTTATTTTCTGAAATATAAAGCTATTGAAAGGATTAAGATTAAATAAACTACATAATTATGTTTATTGCTATATATTCAACAGTAATAGATATATTTTAGCCTTTAAAAATGTTTACTTTTTAAGCCTTATCAGTCTAAAGTTGGCTATTTTGCTCCGAGTTGGACTATTTTAAGTCACAGATTGTAGACTTTTAAAGTGTATATTAACGTAATATTTACTGTTTTAGGCTGAAATGATTCTCAAAGGTACTATATTATACTTTGGTTAGTTCAAAATTGGCTTAAAACAGTTAGAATCCTAATAAAGACCCTTTAAATTCATATAACAATCGTAGTATTCGGTTAAATGAAGATAGGTCTTTAGTTAGTCTTCCTGTTAATCTATACATTCATCAGAGGCTATAATCTGTATTAAACTAATTATAAGATATTTATTTGAAGTGTACATAGTGTTACAT